AGAGAGAGAGAGAGAGAGAGAGAGAGAGAGAGAGAGAGAGTTATAATAAATATATAATAAAAAATTCATATTTGAAAATTTAGTACTTAAAAGTGAAAAAATATCTATCCATTAAAGAATATCATCAAATGTGTCATCGATAAGGGGAAAAAAAATCTAAATTTCTCCCCTTTTTTACTCTAGTCTTCATCACTTACAACCAACATGACAGACATGCATTTATGCAAAAGAACCTACTTACTCTCTGATTTAAAAGAATACACAATGCCCTTGTGCATTCAAGTACGGCAACTGGTGGTTTAGAATAAGACTTTAGCTAAAAGATAGAAAAGTATCTATAAATCATTTCATTAAGAATAAACTCTTATAATGCTTTTAGAACAAGTTGATCCACTTACTAACTGATCCATGGATTAAATATGGCCGACCCACTTAAAAACAATGCCTTAATGGGCTCCCCACTTCAACATGTGCTATCCTAGCAATTAAACCTCAGAGCCGAAATTTAAATCATCTAATTCATAGGCTCCTGCAGGCCATGTGGTAAGTGGGGAGGCCTCAAGGAGATTAGCAGCATCACTTTCAAAGGGGTTGAAAATATTTGTTCCGCAACCAGTTAGTTTGAGGATCATCTCTTCTGAATGCAGCCTGGGTAATACAATACAATGAAAATAAAATAAATGTTATACCATGAAAAATGCATGTCACTTCTATACAACGACTGTAAATAACTTAAATGAGAATCCTTATGAAAATCTGACTGCAACTTTAACGCACCCTCAAACAACAGAATCAATAACATTTTGACAAGTATCTTTAAAGTGCAACCTGGTGTGAATGCAATTGTACTTTACCTCAGATATATCAGACTTGGCTAAACTCTGAAGCTTATCCATTGCTCTATTCTGTAACAGATACAATTAAAAAAATAAATAGTTATTATTTATTGGGTTTATGTTTACTGCTCCTTACTAGCTGGTCCTGATATAAGTGAAGTAACAACATTCAGAATAGCAAGAATATGCACATGTTAGCTATCTGGATAAGTGTAATAGGCACACAGAATAAATGATGTTTTAGTTCTCCAAATGCATGTCATAAATATATAAAGAATATGAAGAATATGTAGATTAAGCATAAAATTATACTGTACAGTCAGCAACCTTACACTTTAGTTTCTTTTAATCAATAAAGTATATTAAACATTGCCTCCACTTTCTGAAATTTTCTAATAATAAAGACATCAGAGGGAAATCAACTAGAAATTGACTTTCAATTTAGATTTGTTGGATTAAACCAAACTTATTTATCTTTATCCCAACAGGAATACCCACCCAGTGATTTGTAAGAAACTCATTTAGTTCTTTTTCCTTGCTTGTAGCCTGGCCTTCCTCAATCACATTGCTTTGTAGACCATATACTTGCATCTACAAATAAAGAGGTGAAAATTACATTTATTAAAATCCAAGGCAAAATGTTGGCAAAGGCAGTGTAATTAATTGTTTTTTCTGAGAGATTACAAGAGAAACAATGAAATGCATAATTCCAGCATTGCACTTTGATTGTTGTACTGTTGTACCTATATAGGGATGTTACAAATATTAAGTTTTAAAATTTGCAGTGTTGAGTTAAATTCCATGGAACTTTTCTGGTTAATTCTTGAGACATTAAAATGCATACTAAGTTTTTTATCCATCTGGGATTAAACTTGGAAAAACCATTTTAACAAAATGTGCAAACTTCTTTTCTACATTAAATTAAAATAATGTGAGTTGCAATTGATTCTAACAATCCTAACCTTTAATGTTTTTACATCCACAGAAACCATCGTGTATACAGTTCTACTCTCAGCAGTATAAAGGGAACGTTTGTATCTTTCCTGATATTCAAAGTCCTCTTCATTAACTCTGAAAAAAAACACCACCATATCATAATAGTTTAGAAATATCACAAGCTTATAAACATGTAAGCAATGATAATCATAATAGATATGTCACTAACTTGTAATTTAATTATATAATCATTATAGTTTACTTTGTCTCCTATTTTGATATATCTATAAAAAAAACTGGCATGTTTTGCCAAGTTATTTTATCATTAAAATATCTTATAACCACTGCAAAGCCGTTGTTACAAAAAATATATGGCCTCATATCTAATGTTTATATCAATATTAGACACTGAATACATTTAACAAATTATAAGCAATAAATATCTTCATAAACTGGAAATGATGAGGGACAATGATATTCATTTTATATATAAGTCAATGTGTAGCTCACTTGCTCCAATGCTCTGCTGCTAAATGCTGCTTTAGGCTCTCTGCCGTCTGCTTCAGTTGTGCATCCAGATCCAGGTTAAGACGGGATATTTGTTCTTCAATGGAACCAGCAGTTGTTTGCCCAGGGGAGTCCTCATAGAGGATCACAATCATTATGGGAGCATGGTTGACCTAGAAATGAAATAACCCTACTCATAGTCTGAATTCGACAAGCCATGTTTTATTCATTTATATATTTTTCTCTTTTATTTCTAAAATGTTTAAGTTTTCTCACAAAGAAATTTGCTTATTGAGGCCAACTGGTCTATATCTGGCTGTCAATGCTTAATTCTAAAAATTAGGAGAAAGACATTTTGGTAAACACTGTAAAATAACCAAAGGCATGCAAAAACAATGTGGTCGGGCCTTAACTTAGACTTAAACAAGCTTCACTCTGTTAAAAATGGAATAAATAGAAAAATTATGTATATTTTACATGTCCTCTGATAACATCAATCTTGTTCATAATTTTCAACTGTAAATCATCAGCTGAATTGAAGTCTATGAGAAGAACAAAAGCAGCACTCTCAGTTGTAAATGGAACACTGTCTGAGGACATCTAGAGAAAAAAAAGAATTACTCATTATTTTCATAAAAATTGATATTTGGGGCATATCATTAAAACAGGTTTCATTCAAATTGACTGACAGAAAGATATATTCTAAGAGATGATGTAAGCAATTATATTCATACCCATGAAAATATTTTACAAGAATTTTTAGATCACAGTACATTAGAAATTTTTACAATACATTACAAAGATGCACATACTATAAAGGTATCACAACAAAACATGTTTCACTTACACTATATCCCTTAGTTTCAATCACATTCAAGAGGAACTCCACATCATTTTCAGAAACGGAATTGGAATTTGACAGGGAAAAATTTGATAGATAATCATTACCAAACTGTGTTAATTCTTGTTCATTATCACAGCGCTCAAATTTTCCTGTCCTCAAAAATTCCGTGAACTTATAATCGCAGTCTTGCCTCCTGAACACCACTAGTTTTCTCTCATGTCCTTGACTCTCACGTTGACATTCATCTGAAATATTGGGCATTTCATTCATCAAATTGACACTGACTGTGATACATTGAAGTAAATTACTGGACATCTATTATTGATATTTGTATTGACAAATTGAATTACTTTTTATTGTTTTAATAATTTATTATATAAAAAACAATTATTATTGTGTAGGTTTGTTTTATTCTAAAGCAATAGCAAAAAACTTCCAATTTGTTACTTTCAAACCTTTAACCACATACTGATGCATTTTTAAATTCTTAAAAGACAATAGAAAAAGATTACAAAATAATGATGGCAAATAAATTCCACTGCTCAATACTCATAGGTAAAATTCTTTAAATTCTTTATTCCTTCTCTGAGTTCATAGCATTACTGTACATGAGAATTCTGGATCAGTAGCTGAAGACCACCCTGAGTCCCACAGTTTACTGGAGACCATCAATAGACACTGCAGAGACATACTGTACATACAGAAACAGGCTTCCAGTAAACTCTGACACTCAGGGTCCTGCAGACCAATCTCAGTCTATAGGAGAGATGCTATATAAATGAACAGCTTACTGAATGTGCTGTTATCATACTGTGCAGGATCATACAGTGGGCACCCATCAACAGTAATCTTGCAGGCGTTTCCTATGCTGGTAGGTATATAGCCCACACTGGTCCCTGACACACTGACATGCTGTAACCCTGTGCAGAACAACTGCAGGTACTTCAGGGACTCATCTGTCAGGTGGGGACAGCCATCAAAGGAAACCTTGAAAGATATAACAGTGTTTAAGAACCAAAATTGAAATCAACATGTTTTTTTTTTTTTTTGTACATGTCAGACATTCAGACATGCTGCAAACTTTTCAGAACTGCCAGACATTTGGACCGGCAGTGATGAAAAATATGCCGGACCTAATAGACTAAGTACAATTTTTTACCAGTCCAGAGAAATTTTGCCGGTCATGAAAGATTGGACAGACAGTTTCAGCATGTCTCCATGTGCATGTATCAGGTGAAAATCCACCACTGAGTGTGTGCATACATGTGTTTATGTTAGGACATCGATACATTTATGTGTGTGAGTAATGAGGTCAGACATTAAATAACACCTCAAATGACAATCTGATGTTTAGTAACCAAAACTGATTTTTTATTTCAACTGACAGGTTTTGTCAACTTTTGCAGTACACACAAAACTCACAAAAAAAAGTTCCACATATCTTATTATAAGTTTAAATCAAAGTCAGTTCTACTCAAGGCTGCAAAGTAACAATTAAACAAGCATGGAATTTGTAGTTTTTATTATCTCTTTGATTCCAGTGTGTGTGCATGTGTACGTATGCAACCTACTGAAACTCACATGTTCTAAATCCTGAAAAGCCTTGGCCAGAAAGAACACTCCCACGTCTGTAAGATGGATGCATCCATTGCAGTGCACAGCCTTGACTCCTTTCCTGAGGGTGTTCAACTCCTCGTCCATAACACAGAACACCAGGTCCGTTAATTGCTCTATGCCACTGAAGTCAAATGTTAGCTGGGCAGCTTGGGTCAATGAAGAAGAAAGCTTTTTCAACAATGCCTGTAAGAAAAACATACAAAAATAAAGCAGCATTTTAAATTGCAAGGCCAGTTTTTAAAAGTTGTTTTCTATTTCTGGTATTAAAAACTTTTACCTTGGAAAATGGGGCACCACATTTTTTGGCTAATTAAGTCACTAATCAGCAGGATAGCATTCAGAATTCTATGGAGGAAGAAACCTAAAATTCAATCTATCATTTTATTTTTAAATATGACCCAATTGATTGAATGGGGTGGAGGTGGGTGCTTATACTGTATATATTATCTGCAGTGAATCCTGTAAAAACATATGTCAGATCCTATTTTATTCTATTTGCACCTTGCAAACATAAATCTAAGATGTTTATTCACTTCTTTGATTGCAACAGAAAAACATCTTAAGCCACTTGCAAAATGTCAGCAACCTATTACACTGTAGGAATCCAAATACAGTACAATGTACATGTACTTACAGCAAATTTCTTCAGTGGATAATATTCTTTGACCTCCAGATTTTCATACAGAGCTTTCCAGCTAAGCAAGACTTGGTCACCATCTTGTGTGTATCCACTTTCTGTGTATGTTGTCTGTTCAACTGCTCCCTCTTCACCTCCATTTGCAGGTATATGTACCTCTGTGTTAGCTTCTTCTTGCCTTTCCTCCATTATGAACTCCACTCTTTCACACTGGCATCAACTCAGCAATTCAAACAATTTTTCTTCAGTTGAGATTTCATTCTGATGGATGCCCAACCATTCTGAAAAAGTAATGTTCTTTTTTATCGAATGGGTGTTAGAACTTTTGAAATATCATTTATACTTCACTCTACAACTGAAACTGGAAAAAAATTTTCACACTAATATTTTGATTAATTTGTAGTCATATTTTCCTAGTGCTCCTAAGTACACAATAAATAGAATGCATTAAATCCATCAACGTGTCAAAGTTTTCAAAGCAACAGTCATATGTCTTCGCAATCATACAGTATATGCCGCAGAGTCACATACAGTTGAGTCAATTAAGTTATGTAATACCACTAACAACATGTTTAATCTGCACTGGTAACTAAATCCAAAAACATTGTTTCCTAAATCCACTGAGACAAAATAAGGCCTTGCAATGAGGTAACCATAAACCCTACATAAAATGAATTATACTCCACGAAGCTGACTGTTTATCTCAAACATACATGTATCTTAGAGCGGATTCTTTTGTCGAAGCTGAAATCAATATGAGCATTCCCTTAATTGAAACCCAACTTTCCAGTCCCAAAGTGTGTCCGAGTGATGCAAAATCAATTATGTTTAAAGGAATACATTGCATATTATCTACGGCTTATTTCAACCACTTTAAATAAAATAAAGTACCACTTTTTCCATGCTGCAATTTCAATATAAAATAAGCTCAATTTTCCTTCGCGACCAGCACGCACAGTGAAATCAACCAAACAAATGAATGGCAAGTATTTGCCCTTTTTCGAAGAGCTAGATTCAAGACATGCTAAATCTCAATTCAGTATTACAGTATTTTATGCTTGACCTAACTTGTGGATAATTTTCTAAATCAAATATTTATTTTATGATTTTATAAAGAAAAGGTTTTAAAGTACCATGTTTATATGATTAAAATAGACATTTTAACAAGGAATTGCTTATCTTGGCCTCCGCGAAGCAGAGTGTCATTAACTGCAACAGGTGGAGGCTTGCTCTCCACCAGCGTACAAGACAAAACAAAAATGTATACATATATTGATTGATTTTAATTGTAGCTCTCATAATGAAATTCGGCTTTACGGTAGTCTTTTAACGCACATCTCAATATATAAGTATTATAATCATTTATATTATTAATTTTAGATTAAGACTTTATAACCAGACATTCTTTGTCTTTGTTTTTAATTCTGACGAATGGCACTGGTATATATAAATGGTATTCTCAGAAAAAATATTATTTTAAAAACACTTCATTGTCATCCATCTGTGTTTGCAATTTTTTTTCCCTTTCAATTTCTGAATCACTTGATATGTTGTACAATAGTTATAATTTTTTTTTTGTTTCAAGTTGGCAGGGAAGTCAAAATATATTCACCTTTGATGTTACTTTAAGTGATGAAAAATAAATCACTTCAGTAGTATTTGAAGATTTTTTTTTCATATCAACAATAAATCAATTCATTCAAATAAATCAGTTTATTGGACAAATATGGATAAGGGACAAAATAGGATATAAAGATGTAAAAATTAGAATATATGTGCATACAAAATCTTGAGCAGGTTTGTGTGATTTATCAAAAAAAAAAAAAAAAAAATATATATATATATATATATATATATATATATATATATATATATATATATATATATAACTGACCATACATGTTATTATTATTATTATTATTATTTTTTTTTTTTTTGCATATTTGAAACTAATTTATGAATAAATATGCAGACTATCACTGAACAGCATGAAGAAGTTCTGCATTTCTTCTTTTTATAACATGTTTAAGCATATTTTCACAGACAAGTATTAAAAAGCATCCACACTTTCTGTACGTCTTGGCAATAAATTGATTGCATACTCTGTAACAAGTTATATGTATGTGGCTTGTTTTTTTCTTTAAGAAAATTCAAATAATATTTATGTAATATTCACAAGAATAAAATACTCCTCCCCACCATGATTTTGAATATAACAAATGTGAATTTTTCTAATGCTATAACATTCATGTGTTGATAATAGTGTCTAAATCTTACTATGTAAAGATTTCTCAAAGATATTTACACCAAAAAAAGGTATAAATCCACCACTATGGAGTACCAAAGGTACCAAGATAATTTATGAGATCACATAAACTGACATAATGCACACATTCACACACTATACACATCTAGTCGTTTTGTCCTAAACAACCAAGCAGGTTATGGTTTATGGAAAATCTGTATAAAGGACGGACATGAGCTGTTTTTTCCCAAATGGGTGATCCAGCCTTCAAGTTTTCAGTGACTATGGCAAAGCTTATCAAATCTCTCCTGATGCTTACTTTTACATCTAACAAACTGGACTTCACAACTGTTTCAGGAAGACTTGAACAAGCTGAAAATACAAGGTTATGATAAAAATTTTACATGCAAAGATGTGTCAACATATTCCACACCTGTATCATTTTTAGCCATTTCATCAATCTACGATATTTTTACAAATAAAATTCATGATGCAAATCAATGAACTAATCTACATCATTACTGGCAATTCTAGTTTTTCTACATGTTCTATCAACCTAATTGCTTGCAAGATATAAAAATGCCTATTCTAACTATAAATTCAATGTCCCCTTTTTGTCCAGACTTACCCTGGCTCTCTCTCCAGTTCTATCTGTTCTCTCAGATAGTTTATCAACAATATCAGTCATAGCCTTCAGGGATGTATACACACCAATCACACTCCTTGGTAAATAAGCGGATAATTTTATTCAACTAATAAGTATTAATAACCAAATAAAAATCCTGTAAGAAATCAAACAAGTAAGTGTTACCAGTTTAACTGGTGAACAATAAACTACAGGAAAACAATATCACTCTTACCAAGTTCAATTCAAGTTCAAGTTGTTCGACATTATGATGTTTTTGTACATTTAGTTAATTTTCTTAGACAATAATCTACCACTGATTTGACTCATATAAATAAAAGGCATCCACCTGCTTCTAAGCATCATTCCGCTCTGATTATGATCACTGGAGATCTCCTTCCACCACTTCTTAAGAACTGCTCTAATGAAATCTAAGCTGCTTATGATGTAGCTGTAGATGAAAAAGCATTATTATTATTAATAGCAGTTACAATGCACAGGCCTGTTTATTGACAATCACAGTATTTTCAGCATATTCATAACTTGTCTAATGAGAGAGAAATAATTTAATTGATAGCATCATACATGTGGATCAATTATGGATGCCCCTTCCTTTAACTTTCTTATTTCACAGTGGTACCATAAAGACAAGGGCAAAGAGGTCAAGGTACTCAAAAAAAGTTATCAAAATTATTTAATACAAGTACATTTTGCAATACTGAATAAGATTAGGCACTTTACATTAGAAATTAAAAACATATCGGGTGGGCTAGATTAGACCACTGACCACTTTACTGTGGTAATTTCTGAATTTCATATTAAACAATTTGTACTTCTAATGACAAGGTAGACCAAGAACAAGATGGGCAACCTGCTGAGAGTGGATGGCACCCAATGATGATGATGACTTCTTATGACATCCAGTACAATGCTTTAAGTATAAGTTACCTTTGTTCTAAATACTGCTTATCAACAGACAGTCCCTACCCTTCTCTCTCTACAATACTGCAAAATGTATTCATCAAATATACAGGGGTGTGGGTATGCTACTTACTCCTCAAACTTGCTTGTCAGCAGCTTCTTCAATGAAGGTAACAGGTCCATGCAAGCTCCCATAGACAGGGGCCTCCAGTCATCTCTTATACTGAAACCGTGTTACAATGGTATAAAGGTGTACAAATATAACTGTCCACATAAATAAATTTATATTTCAGGACACATCAAATATACTTGGACATTGCTAGAAAAACGGGTTTTAAAATCACTTTTTGGAGAATCATCTGAGAAAAAATTTGATAATATAATATACAAAATATAAGAGTACATATTTCTACATATTAAATCACCACTAGTCCCAGGTCTGGAGCCAACAATTTCAAAGTGGTCATCTTTTTTTCTGAAAAAGTGGGCCTTTCCCCCAATTACTTGACCCAATTTGAGAGATGGCATATATCAAATGTTGATTTGGACTGACCTGTCCAGGCCAAATGATGGCTTTTTCAACCCCCCCTCCCCCATATGCCCATGGACCTATTACACTGTCTTGCTTAATAACAAGGAAAAGGGGTACTTTTCAATTTTATTTGTACTAAAAGTTTTATCACATGTTGACTAAATTTATATGCATCAATTTATCTTTCATACCACTTGGTTAAATAAGGCAGGATGTCCACAGTCACAGAATCATTATTGATCTTCTGCAGATAGGAGACTACATCTGACGCACCCTGCTGATGCCATATTGTCTGGGCAGCTCTTAGGCGGAGTAGCCTTACATTCAATACATTCAGCATCTGAGTGTGGCCCGCTAATAACTATGAAATAATGAGAGAAGCTGATTAAAGCTATGTTTAAGATGGGAGAAATTCTTAGTATCTTAAAATGTTTGTCTTGACTATGCACTGCTTCTAAACCGTTTCATAAAACATTTGGAAAAAGAATATAACCAGAAGTAGGAATTGTGTCTAAAATATATATATATGTTATACAGACAAAGATTCTGTTAAACATTTCAGTTTTTTAATTTTTCATTTTTTTTTTTAATTTGGGGGAAAATACACATAATAGAAACAAAAACACTCACACCATATCTAAAATTGCATTTTTTTCTTGGGTCCTACCTCATCCACATCTTCCCTGCCAAAAGTACCATCCCCCTTTTCTCCTTGCAATCCAATGGGCATATTTTCCTTGGCGTATGCTATGTCATACTGCTGATGGTTCTCACTGACTGGCCACTGAGCTGGATGACATGGGGCTTTCTCCTTTAAGATATGCAGTTTAAACATAAGGCAAATGCTTAGTTATAGGACAATCATTTTTAATAAATTATATAATGATAACCATTTAATGAATATATATATATATATATTTCATTTACAAAACAATTGTTTCTGATATATATATATATATAAAACAATTGTTTCTGATATATATATATGTAAGAAACAATTGTTTTGTAAATGAAATGTACTTTAACATTATTCCATATTCTTAATAGTCTCAACGACACACACACACACGCGCACACACACACACACGCACAAAATAATAATAATACACACTGAAAAGTTACCATTTAAATATCAAATTACAATGCTATCTTTCTGCTCCATTTTTACCTTACTGCCTCTTGCATTGTGTGCAGCAAGTGGACGGATACCCTTCTTTCCCTGGACCTTGTAAGATAAAGGCTTTCCCTGATTCAACCTTTGGAATGACATATAACAATGTAAAGTATATGTAGTACACTCAGGATTAAGAGTTTAAGCACAATGTTATATGACTAGATGTGATGGTGTACATGCTTGTCTCTTGTTTGTATAATATATGTAAATGCTACAAATTTGACATTCCAAGAAAAATATAAAAAATGTGACCAAAATTTATTCTATGAAGCATTTTGTACCATTAGTTTTTGTCCCACATGTGCCTTTCAGGTTGGATGTATCACATAAACAGTGACTTCTATCCAAATTCATTACATGGCCCTCTAATATGCATGCATTTCATCACATAAATAAAATTATTCGTTATCACTTACTTTATTTTCTTCATTTCATTAACAAGGTTTGCCTCATAGGGATTTGGTTCTCCAGATTTCCTCTACAACAACAACAACAACAAAAAAAAAAAACTCTGTAAGCTGTGGCCTTTTTATAATTATAAATTCCATGATAAGTGTATTGAAATACATAGTAAGTTTTTCTTCTAACAAGAATGTTCAACCAAGGAGAAACTCCTTGGTTCAACATTCTAAAGAGCTGAAGTTAGCTTCATGCCATTCCCAGCAGTTGGCTTCATTGTAGGGAGGACAATTAAGGGAGGGATTAGATTTGATTTGGTGAGCTAATCTTAACATGTAATGTTCATGAACTACCGAGCTACATGTATATATACATGGACAATGAGATAATTTAACTGTGCTAATAACATGTAATGTTCATGAACTACCGAGCTACATGTATATATACATGGACAATGAGATAATTTAACTGTGCTAATAAAGGCACTGTGAACTGACTGGATACATGGGCCCAAAGATATACCAACCTTGCTTGCTCTTTTAGCTGCCACCTCTTTTTTGATACGTGCAAATTCCACCTCTTCCTTACTCAACCAAACATATTTGTTCTTAAAAACATCCCATTTCAGGTAGCCTGCTCCAGCATTAATAAGACCAGGGTTTTGTGGTGGATGAGCAGCCATTTCATCCTTATAAGAATAATTTTAAATGTTAAATTAACGTTCATATAGGTCAAACACTGGATGATAAATGGACGAGAAAGAGGCATCATATTCATAATACAAATTACTAAAAATTGTGTTAAACACATATTGGAATTGTTTAGCAAAATTAAGAACATTTCACATTTTACAAATTGTTACTTATTTGTTAATGATCAATCAATTTTTGGACTGACTACAGTCTTTTTTTTTTTTTTTTTTTTTTTTTGATATTATCCTCCAATTTTGAGCTGTAGATTATATATTACAATGAAAATGGGCATAAATAAAGAGATCTCAATGAGTCAATATAACAATTAACAAAAGTAAACAATTATTCCCATAAAACTGTTTTACATTCATGCACTGGGCACAGTTTTGGGATTCCCTTTGCAGTTTAATGTTTTCCCTGTAGGTGCTAATGCAAATGTACACCAATCTTAATTGTAAGTAACATTTTATTTCATATACCTGCATGTTTTTGTTTGTTTACAAAATATATTAAAACTGGCAAGAAAATTCGAACAAATACTTAATAGAAACACAATTTGCTTTTAGCTTGCTGCGAGCTATACACCAACTTTTTTTATACTTACAATTTTGAAGACTGAAAGCTTATGACTTCCAATTTATCGGACTCTTTCAATGATTGATTTGTTGCGTGTCTTGGGTTTAAAAAATTGCCTCGGTTTTCATTGGTCAATCATTTCAAGATAGTCTCAATCGCTAATTGGTGGTTGGTGTTAAATTAAAGGCATTATATGTGTAGAGTAACGTACTGACTTTATTGATTGAACCATTGCATATGTAAGTTTGTTGAGTCAGTGATTAGCTGACAATATCTACAGTGAATAAAAAATATGAAGTGCAGCTCTTCGTTACTCTTATTTATTTGAAGACTCGAAACTGAAATGATTCGAAATCGTGGTTATGAAACTTAGAGAGAAATACATAATATTCGAAGAAGTGCACTGAAATTTCAACGTAAATACAATGGGGTCGAAGTACAGAGCATTTCTTCAAGTATGTAGAAATTTCCCAAAAGATGAAAAGAAGCTTGGAAGAGACTTAGCCATACACATACGACAAAGAGTAGCGGCGGCTTTCAGAGAAGGGGAAGCTACACGCATCCATGACGAAGAAGCTTGCCAAAGAAAGTTAGATGCTCTACTGATGATTGATAAAGACGTATTTAGAAAGCGATATCCTTATGCTGCAAAAACCGGTTCAGTTGGACAGGAACTTGAGCTTCTGAAACAAGGCACATCAAACGAGTTTATTTTAGGCAATTATGGTGATAAGGACACGATAGATAAATTGATAAAAGTACAAAAAGAAGAGACTGTTAACGAAAAATAATAGACAGAGAGTGAATTATGAGTGGGAATGTTTTAACACTTAAAAACACGATTTCTATTCAGGCAAAAAATAAAAACAGACCTATTGCCTTATGCCATATGAGATAACATTGCTTGCCATTATTGAAGACCAGTTGCACATGATGAGGATTATTGGAAAGATTCTACATGTACACATAAAATGAAAGTGGAACTCCATGATGGGTAGTCAAGTTGCTGGGAATAACATCTTAAGAGTTAACTTTGAAGAAAGCATAATAGTAGGACAATGTAACTCTGACTTGTACCACACAACCAGTGCCATCATCATCTATTAGATGTTTCCTACCAGAGCATGGACACTCTCAGCACATGGTTTTCAGTGATCAGACAATTCTGACAAAAAGCTTTCTGCAATGGAAGTAATGAATTCATTTTGCCAGAAAAGATGTGATTGCTATGAACACACCTTGCAGATAACAAGTTTTTTTTCTTTTTTTGAAAGGAGTGTAAATATAATGTTAACTGCAAATCTATTACTTTTACTGGAAATTGGGTGCCTATCACTGCAAAGTTATTAAATTATTGGTAAAACTGACTGCTTTTATTTTCCATATGTCATTATTTTTCTGAATTGAAATGCAATTCAATCACCATGTTTGATGCATCTTTTCTCTTAATTTAGAAATGACAATACCATAACACTAACGAGTGTCGCATACCTCATACATAACCTGTGTTTGCACAAATGGACTAATTAGGTAACAATACAAACTCCTTAGGGCGTTGCGATTTATGGTTGGAAAATGCATATAAGACTGAGATTGAGCTAAGTGTTATATTAAAGCAAAGTTAAAATTCCTTAGGTGGCATGACCGTCTTGTATCGTTTAGGTGTTATTTAGGGTGCTGTGCTTGTCAGTTCTAAAGACATTTAAATTAATGTTAATAGGGTAGAAAAGTTGATTTCAAGATAAATAGCCACTCTTTTTTTAATACGACTTTATAAGCTACATGCACACAAGAGATATGGTTTAATACTGAATAAAACGGAAACGCACAAAGATTGAAGTGCGTGGACGGTTTTGACGAAACGTCCCGTCATCCAAAATTTAACTTTTCCATAATCGGTTATGTATAAAAAAGATATCGACAGTAGCTCATAAGATCACTTTAAAGACACGCAATACGCTTTAGGTCGTAAAGAAAAGAAAATTTCCGAGAAATTTAGCAATTTTACTCTAGTTCATCAAGATATTCCCTTTATAAAAAATTGGTGAAAAATCTCGTTTTCGAGTCCTAAATATCTGAAACTTCAAAAGGATATATGGATCATTATTCTCTGAACAGTTTTTGCTTTGGTATACCATTAGGGCTGTAAAAGAGAAAAGAAAACGACGTTTAAATTTGATATGCATAACCCCACATAGGTATACCACATTTAAAACATTTTAATGTTCTGGCAGAAAAATGAGGGTAGCGCACTACAACTGATAATGAAGGGAAGACGAACGGAGCTTTGTTAAGTGATTTAGAAAACCGTATGAGACAAGTATTTCGGGCCACTGACGAGGATAAAGGGTTTTTAATACGTTTTATTGAATAATTTGCACCATTTGTTCTCCCTGAAACCATTTTGTTTGGAGTGAAAAATAACTTCAGATCCCATTGACTGTTTTTCTCGCATTGAAGATATGTCGGGATAAACTTAAATGTAAATCGATCTGTAACCCTTTACAATTCTGTCATTGTCAAACTGCCCTTAATTAATTTAATTAATTTCTGTAACAATTTCACTGTACAATCCAATTGATTGTAGATTTTAATAATAATAATATTATTATTATTATTATTATTATTATTATTATTATTATTATTATTATTATTATTATTACACCGTCTAAATTGGCCATCCCAGTCATACTGCCCAGGATAAGTTTTATAAGTTTCATTTTCAAACAGAAAATGTTGAAAAATGAGTGCTTTAGATATCTCTTCTTAATTCTTTCTCGGGAAATTTGGCGTTAAAATTGGCCATTTTTCCTGGATAATTAATATGTAGTCTCCCTCTCTCTCTTCTCAAGTTAACGATAATTGTATCTTCTCTGCCGGCACAGGTCTAACAGGATTCAACAGTTTATGGCGGGATATCGACTCCCCATACCTGACCGCTCTGTCTTGAGGTTTATTTGCTTTGTTTTTCTCCCTCAGGTCTCTAAACACGCCTTGCACTGCCTTTTCTTTCTTGGGAAAGTCGACCTCTCCCGATTTTCCGAGATATGAAATTCTTGGTGGGGAAAACACACGTGGCGTCGTTTCCCAAGGAGACACTGGTTCCCCAGTTAACCTGTACCCTAACGTTGTATAAGTTTTAGGCAAAATACACGGGAAATGAACGCATTCTCCTTTGGTCAAACCGTATTTACACCTGTGCCCCGTGTCCCGACGTTCTTCCCGATCCCTGGACTTTCCCGAAATTGTAGCAGAAGTCACGTAAGGTAAAAGCTTTGTAGAATTCAATTTGCAAGCGGGCAAGATGCGGTTTGAAATCAGTTTGTCGGGTTCTAGAAAGCTCTCGATACAAGATATTCTATTTTCGGACCCACTTTCTGAAGCATCTTGGACACTACTTGTTGTTTCATCCTCCTCCGAGTCACTATCCCGATTACTTTCCGTGTTTACAGGCGACTCAGCATTTTCTTCTTTGACTTTGTAATGTTCGGCGTTACTGAGTTCGTGCATAAGGTTATTGATCTCTTTGCGAATAAGGCCATTAGTGCGATTTGTAGCTCTCTCCAAATTCAATAGTTTTTCTTCTAAAAGATTCTTCTCTCGAGAGTTCATGGCTCGAGTTCGGACGGAATTTCGGAGACTTTTCTTCACCAATACAGATTCGAAATCTCTGGATGTTTTTACACTTGGTCCGGGCATTGTTTGAACGTCCACCACTTCGGAGATATTGAGCTGAAAAAAAAAAAAAAAAAAGAATTCCCATCAAATATATGTAACAGAACAGCTTTTGCATTATCCACATTAGCCACGGTGTAAATGTGTAACTTCTTTCTCAGGTTTGCAATTTTCATGTGATCAAATCTAAGTTTTGACTTAATGCTGACTTTACCAGCAACGACTCATAGATGTGTAATAAAAATGTCCAAAAAGTCATAAGCGACCATAATTTGTTGTCAAAAGAATACCCACAACCCCCCAATGTGTTTGCTTGCCCTTTTGCAAAAGTGCTTTTAAAGTCTACCCACGATAACAGTAAGTCGTGAATGTGTATTTTGCTCATTTTTTCAACAGCTTTTGAAACAGCTTTTAAACAGCTTTGAATTCTGTCTGAAAACATAAGTTATATATACGGCGTCACCCTACTGGTCCAGAATACATAGCAACTGTAGTTCTTCAGATAGTCGTCACTTTTTCACGAAGAAAACTAATACCTACTGCTTTATGCACGTCCTTTGGTTAAGTCGGCAAGACGCATACGTGGCTTATTAGCCTTGTAAGACAGGTGTAACTTTGCGAGGTAGATTATTAACATAACCATGGCACGCCGAACCTGTCAAAGGTATTTACTTGCGGCCATACCAGATTTCATTATTTGCTCGGAAATACACCTCCTTCTCTTTCTTTCATAAACTCTTCCGTATCAAGCCCCCAGATCGGATCTTCTGCTAGATAAACACTCACAGTTGAATATACACTACACTTACAGAGACACAGTAAATATTAACCCACCCCTGAGTAAAATACCAACAGGCGATATCAAGACTAAACCATGCTCGTTCTGAACCCCGGACTTATGTAGACAAACACGTAATATGTTAATTTACGTTCAGTTGATCTCAACAAGATCGATCTCATTTTCCAGCTCAGTCTTTATCGCTTTAAATGTTAAAGGCAAAAATCACCCGGTGATAAGTTCTTTCAAGATATCGTTCTGGAGCACACAAAGGATCAGTCCCATTGTTTGCTGTCACTATGGAGAAATTTCATTAAACTGTCAGCGTGACACTGAATACGTATCGGTAAACTCACATATCAGTTTCTATAAATCATAAGAAGTTAGTTGTCGGGTAATGTGGCCTCACACGGTTTGTATAATACCCTCTATTTCCTGCTAATGTATTAACGCCTTTTCTGACTGTAAACTAGAAGGTGTTTTGCACAAAGATCAACACTTGTAAAAATTCTAGGCGCACATGTGGGATATATATATACATAGTTTTAATTTATATAGAAATTGCAACAAGTACCCCGGATAAATGTTAACGTTAAAACCACGTCGTTAACACACTGCGAAGTTTTATAAAATTGAAATAAAACCTTTGTCATGTAGTTATAATGATTATATTTAATTTAAAAAATATCACATGTAGGGGCCTACATGTAGCACAGATAAACTTACCTTGGGGTGAAACAAAGATGAATTGTATTCTAACAGTTAACAAAAAGGTTTTTGTAACACATTAAATCACCAAGAATAAGTAAAATCGAAGAAAGTGAACATTGTATACCAAAATGACGAGCTCTTTGACAGAAATGAAATGTATTGCCAAAGATAGAGATAATATCTCGTCTACCTACCTTAATTTTTAAGGAACTGGTTTTTCATCCCCCTGGTCCACCCGCACCCTGCAACATGTATCAACCTCTTGGTTACATGCCACTGACTAATGTACCTGCCTTTGTGACACTTAATGATTAGCAATTTTGTGGCTACAATCACAAACAGTGTAAATAATTCACTAAGAGTCTATTGAGCTTGTCCAAACAAACTGAAAAAGTGTTCAATAAGTCATGGCTTTCTTTTCTTCACGGGTGACCTAAAGTAACGTTTTGTACAGCGATCGTTTGTATTCCCATTCGCATATTTTTACAAGTTCTTTGAGAAGAAAGAAAGAAAATCAGTAATGCTTGTTTGACTTGGTTTGCAGCCAAAACATCTATACCCAGTGTTTGTAGTGCCCATTGATCAAGATGGCATTCGGAAATAGGTTTTCGGGTGATCAGGGGACTTAACAGACCACTTGAGAGAGAGAGAGGGAGAGAGAGAGAGAGAGAGAGAGAGAGATCTTATAAAAATACGCTACGTACAAGAAATGCATTCTGCACACTTACATCTAAGTGTTTTAAAATTTACTTCTTTCACCACGAAAACTCTACGATTGCTGTATTAGTTTTGTGTAAGTCTCCTTGGTCTGGGGTGTAAATCAGCACAACTGAATATACGCTCCATATCAGTTCTGACCGATTAGAGAAAGGATAAAAAGCGATAAGGATACGTTCCGAAATTGTGACGGGTGCGACAAATTCTGCTCCTCTCACAGTCAGGTGGAAACTGCCATTGACCAAATTGCGTTAGCTATGGTGTAGAATAATCACTACTGCATTTAGTGAACGACGATGCAATTACTCGAGAAATAAAAAAGACTCGTTGGAAATATTCGCTGAATATTTCACCAAACGATTGTAAAATGTCGTCAAGATGCTTGTTATTGTTTCGTTATCGTCAGTAAAAAAGCAAGAAACGTTTGGTGTGTATGCGCGCCTGTGAAATCTCCCTTAACAGCTAGATAATCGGTTTAATTAAATTTCTAGCAGTATTACAATCGGTATGTCGTCTATTAAGAACCTTCAACGGTTTGGGACAAGTACAGGGGAGCAGACTCTCCAAAACTTAAAGTGATACATACACCAATTCGAATTGCAGAGCGCCAGCAATCCACGTAATCCAGTCGGACAAGTAGAAGCCCTAGACCTACTGAGCACTGATTGAGTATGTGTGGTGTTGCGGTCATCAAAATTGAGATTTTTATTCGATTTTCAAAAGAAAAAAGGTTTACAAAATACGTACGAGTTCGGAAGTTTCATACTTTAATTTGTACACGAGAACGATTGTAACCTTAACACTTGACCGCCATTTTATGATACTTAAGTTCTTTTTTAAAAAAAGTTTGTGTTTAACAAATACACGAAGCCCGTGTATGAATAAAAGATGGGGAAATGGGTCGCAAATACTTGTTACAGGTGCAAAGGTGCAACGTGGTGAGCACCTTGTTAAAATTAATGTTTCCTATACTGCGCTACTATTTGTCTGAGTCGTAAAGGAAAGTGTGTTAGGGAAATCCTTAGATAAGGCATATCCCTAAAGTTAATAATAACACATAAACACAATATCAATGTCGTGTAGCAACGACACCAGGTATATCAGATTTGCCAAGGAAATAAATCTTTTAAATAATCATAATCCACTAGAAAAATGTAGCAACGATTAACCCTCTTCTAAAAAGAGCTACTTAAGGGAATGAAAGGCAGATTTATATTTTTCAAGTGCACTATTATAACTTAAATGATAAGAGATTGGGGATCGTATTTCCATATAAAAACTATAAGGAGCACTAAATCCCGGTTGATTGCACTTCGCAAAATCCCTCGTTAATCTCCTACCCCTGAGTAAATGACAGTGAATTATTTTTCTCCACAGTGTTTTCAATGGCCTGAATAGCGCAAAGTTTTCTTATGTATCCAATCCCGTAGCAACAGACTAGATGCAGACTGCAGCGGACTATAATAATGCTAATAATAACACGCTGTGTGTAACTTGAAGATCTTCCCGTAGGGTTGTATTGATTAGCTGTGGAGAATCCACACTTTACTGGTAATGGTCCCAGTCACCGTATTTACAGTAGACTTACAAGAAGAACAATTCCCGCAGAAGTGCTACCACTTTTTTCAATCCATGGCGTCATGGCAATAGATTAAAACCAGACAAGCGGGCCTACGTACGTCACGTGAAGAGAATCTGAACAGATCTTGCTTGCTAGAACAAGGGCAGTCAAACTCGATTGACAGTCTATTCTTACATTACTTGGAGCCAGAGAGGTAAGATTTTCTAAGTATGAGTGACTATATGTTCGTTTGGGTGTTCTACATATTGCGGGCATTGCACGCCTCCTCTTGTACCCGAGAGTATTATCACATTGGATAAGATCACTTAGCCTATCGGGCCTGTGTTGTATTTGTTACGAGATATTAGTCTGTGCAGACTATACTGGAATGAACCAAAGAAAGATATACTACACTTTCACTGGGAAATTTTATAGGCTCTAAACATAGGCATTGGTGAAGTCAAAGAATTTGAGGAAACTGATTCGGGATATTGTGGAACAAATAATGATCGAGTGCAAGCGGAACAGCATAGCTGACCTTCAAATGTACATCAAAATTCTTTTCGCCAAAAACAGATCTTCGAGGAGGCCAAAACGATTCTGCCATAAACATGTGCAGAATGCGTAACTTTGACCCATTTCTCCGTAACATGATCACATATCTAGCCTTCATCCTGACAAAACAAATGAGTGTTAATATGCACCACAAGAGGACCAACCCCGCCCCCTTTCCCTGTTCCTTCCCCCACAAATGTTTTACAGGGGAAGAAAACATGCGCGAGTGAGCAAACGTTTTATTTTAAATATTTAGGACGTTTCTTATGCAGTGTGTTTGCTATTTTGAAAAATATCCATAAAATGTCTGTGTACTGTTTCGATTGTCCTTAATTCCAGCCACATCGTGTGAGAAACGTGTGTAGCATAAACGTTGATCAGAAACTGTGGAATCTTCTTCGCTAGGTATACTCGCATGTCATAACCACTGACTTATTCAATTTTGTGTTTTTATATATGTTTTTGCAATTGTTGAATTTTACTTCAAGAGTTATTTTATATTTTCAGGAAAGAAATGACGATTTAACTGAGATGACGTTTTTAAGTATACGACTATTATGGCTGGCAGACGACAGAACAAATAATCCCTCCTCCTCGCATACGCAATTGACGTTTCTAGGAATATTACCAGGATTTTGTTTTTTAGAGAAGACAGGCATATTCTGATTTTAGATGAATCGATTTGGAGTTTGAGGTTTGAAAATGAATTATAACGCACCAATGCCTTCACCCGACAACCCAAACCTGGAATTAGACATTTTCACAGCCATGGACGCCGCAGCGACCCAAAGAACGCGCCACGCTAACAACATTCTAGAGAAAAAGCTCGAACACGACGAGAAAATGCTCAATAAAAAGAAAAAAATGAGCGAAGTGCTCTTACGAAAAGAAACTAGTGAAGTACGAAGAGAACTTAGAAAAATAAAGAAAAAGACACCGCCTTTACCTGAAAGGCAAAAAGATCAAATGCCAACATATTGTAGAGAACACGAAAAAGCAAAGACTAAATCGGGGACCTGACACAGAAATACAAATATAAAATAATTAATGAGACGTCCTAGAATATGATCCAGTTAACAAAATATTAACATCGATCTTTCACGCAGCAAGTGGTATGCAACCATTCACATAAGCGGTTGAAAAGTTTCCACATTGTCAAGTGAACATATGGTGGATTATCAATCACAATGAAGCATTATACCGGAACAATGGTTGTGTCTTTCCCGACATACGAACTTTTCTCGCCATGATAAAGTCATAAAGGACTTCAGCTTTAAGTCCACTTTGTTTGTCAGATAATAAAATGGGCGATAATCTAAGTTACACGTTTTGTTTAGCTGATATGCGTCATTTTGGTGACGCGCCTACGTGAGATACTCCGTTTGATATTCTAAATGATTGTGGAAACTTAAATCTAATCACATCGGATAAATTTATCGACCAAAACTTAAATCACTTTTAAGTAACTGCGCAAGCCGGGCGCACAGTGTTTTAGCCGAAATTTAGATCACGCGATCTATCCATTATGAACACGACAAAGAACTTATCATGAAACGGTTGTTAAGCTCTTTCTAGTCAGTAAAGCGTCGCATTTTTCTTTCACATTAATTATATTCGTAAGTTTGTGATCTCGTTAAAAGGAAATTAAGGGGAATTCATACAATCCCTACGCTTTTCACTTCTGAAAGATTTACATTCATTTTGAGCGGCATTGATATTAGTTTGTCAAGGTCTGTGAGAGATTTAAGGCACGACCGGTCTAACTTCAACTATCTTCTATGAAAAGACTGATCGCCATCACCAAGCGACCAGATTGCACAGTGACCTTTATCGCCCCTTGGACCATGTAAATCAACTTTAGGAAGCTTAATAAAACCATCTTTATTTGAATGTAGCTAACCAAGATTTTATGAATTAATCTCGTAAGGACAAGTCGTTACCTAAAGAAGACCTCTTGAAATTCGCCCCGTGACGTCAATTTGTCTATTTCGGTTCTAATCTACTCCGTTTGTCAACATTCCCTTTTAATTTAGGTATCCTACCCGGAAGTTTCGTTCCAAATAGAATTTATTTTGGAAAAAAATCTACTACTCTCAAATTATTGCTCCACCCGTCCCCGCTCTTGGATTTGATGTTTTAAACCATTTCTCATCAAATAGTTTAATTTTTTAAAATTACTGACCAGACATTTAGACCACCAGGTCTTCCTGTACATTTCAGAAGAAAACACAGTATCCACAACAGGTTATTTGTTTGAGGGATTGTATCTTTTTAAAATCAGAATTGGCAAAGATAAGAAGCTCTGCAGAATATGTAGACATTGGACATCGGGACATTTTAAAAGCGTTTAGTGTACCTTAATTAGCTGAAAGTCAAAAATGCGCGACCGAAACACCGATAATTGAGCTGACTGCATAAAAAATAATAGTTTGTTTGGAACTACATCACTCCTGATGAAAAACGATTTGCAAAAATAATCTGTATTTAATTCAGTTTGTCACATGGCTTTCACGACACTGACATGTACAATATATAAGTACATGAATGCAGAAGTTACAATAGTAAATAGATAAGTTGCATTATTACATGTAGCTCTTATTTATTTCAATGATCATTTCAATCAATAACGACTGGTTTTATAACACAAATGGAAATTATTCTAAAAGTTTAGAATGAAAATCATCATATGTGTGGATTTATATTGATTTTGTCATTTTACAATAAATGACAAAATTCTTGTCGATCAGACTTCAGCCACATTTCCTTAAAAAAAAAAAAGAGTTCCTGTGCGTTTGTGAGCATATGGCTAAATAAATATATCTTCTTTTAATTTAAATTTCATAAAGAGATATGTTCCGTATATATAACTTTAAGTGAACTTAATACTTGGGGATTACTTTGAAACAAAAAATATTTGTTAACGCACAGTTAATTATGACAAAATCTTAATTTATAACAAATATTGTTTTAAATTCAGTGTACACCATGCTAATGATATGCTATTTTGAAAAATTGATTTTTCTTGAAAAAAAAAGGAATTTTCTCCTACTCACAAATCATTGATCTAGCCATTGTTTTTTTTTATGAACTAGCAATGAAATGTTTCCCCTGTTTAGACCACTATGTGTTCCTGTACATTTCAGTTGATTTGAGCAGTTTCATCCCTTTATAACTGGAAGGATATGGATACGTAGACATAGAAAATACCAGCCATCTTTGCAAAGCTTAAATTTCAGGTAGTGTAGCTTTAAACAGGAATGGTCATACATTCCAGACACCTTTGTTTTAAATTGATACTGGTCTGCATGTAGGATTACTGGAATGGAAGCACAATGTATCACTCTGGTCAGAGCATGTTACAGGACTAGTACATCTTGGTATGCTCATTACTGTAACATATCAATTAATTTGATGCATACTATCAGCACAGTTGCAATAAGGAAAATTACAACAATCCTGTAGCCAAGGCCTCCACAAAAGCTTTGGTGTACTGAACTGACTCTCTACATATGCAAATGTCTTTGAATGCTCTGCAACAGCCTTGGTAATAATGGCCAACAGATTCTGGTATTGGGCTGTAGATGGCGACACAGCTGTTTTCTCAGATGGATCACTCTTGACGTCATATAATAATGGTGGGCTGTGCCATACTGCATCAACATAACAACTACATGTGTATCCACAGCCTTCTGTTCCTGGTAACCAGTTGTAACTAGCATATATCAACTTCCAGGTGGCAGAGCCTACAAGAAAAGATGTACATAAATATGATTTCACATTCAGAATGCATGAATCAGCAACACAGATATTCAATCTTACAATCATATAATGCTGGTGCAACATATGAAATGCAATTCAGCAAAAATAAGCTTGGATATTTTTAACTGTCTTGAACCAGACAGTTAACAAAACAATTATAATTTTCTCAGACACACTTGCATTAATTCATCCTCCATTAAAATCTTTATTACAAAAATGTTTCATTCTTCAATCCACAATTGGAAAAGATTAAATACATGTACATGTACACATTGCTGAAACAACCTGACCAGTACTAGCACCCTTACCATCTCTTGGCTGATATCTGACAGCATGAAGGTCCTGGGCACAGTAATGGAAGAGAAATTGGTGTGGACTCACTCTCTTCTCCCCCTTCAACAATGGCAACAGGTTCTTTCCATCCAGCTCAGTAGATCCAGGAAGAGACTGCCTCATCATGTGAGCCAGTGTTGGGAGGAGGTCCATCTGACTGGTCATTTCTTCTATGGACACTCCTGCTGGTAACTGACCAGGCCACATGACAGCTGAGGGTACTCTAATGCCACCATCCATGCTGCCCTGAAGCTTGCCACCTGAATTTTGTAAAACATTTTAGATAAGTACGTTATAAGCAACCATGTGGGCATTTCTGAGATTGCTTAGAATTTTGTTCACAAAATAGCTCCAAGGTCAATTCTGTTTTGATTTGACTGTGAGAAGACAAGATGCCTACATATGGCTGTATATTGACCCATGCTACTGTATCCATCATTTTTAATAGGCCTTTTTTTCTGGATCACTAATGAGCTGAATCCAGGTCCATGGTATCCAAAAGGTGTCCGTGAAGATTTCAGAAAATGTGAGACAATATGACTTTTGTAGGCTTTAATGGTAGGGTCTGAATCTGAAATTTTTCAAAAAGAGGAAAGGACACTGAATCCCTCCCCTACCCACCCCACCTTACATTCTTCCATTAGGATGCAATGTACAGTCATCCATGCTGTAGTTTGCTACTATTAAAGTAGTGTGGGACATCAGTATTATATCTCTCACATTTAATCTGTTTTAAGTATTTTTATGAGACTGCACAAACACTATACTGCTAAGAAGCCTGTTGAAATACAAAATCCAATGTGAAATAGTACTGTACATACATTGTATAAATCTATTATTTTATTACATTAAAATTACAAGCTGGGCGAGGAAGTGACAGGTTACTTGCAAAGAGGCATAGATTATTTCATATTTCTGTAGATGGCATTATCAGATCCTGCAATGATTATACTGTATTATGTTTTTGGTACAACTGTTTGCAGTAGATAAAAGCCATATTGATCCTAAATGACAACACTAAAGCATCTAATGCATGGGTCATTCAGAACATGGGTTCATAAATATCAATAATAATTATTTTCATAGTACTCCCCCTTTTTTCATGTTCAGTGACTTTATTGAATTGGAAATCTGGATAATTTCAGGAGTTGGTTTAAAATGAAATCCTATATTGATTAATGATGATAACAAGTTCAGTACTATAATCTTCAATGCACATCAAGGCACAGGAAGGCCATGATCATGATGGATGCCCGTAGACATAAATACAATTTCCCCTGCTCATGTAAAGCGAATTTCTCATTATATAATCTGAAATATATTCTCTCAATTATAAAATCTCCAATAACTGACATAAATATACATACCTCTGTAGATTCCATTAAATCCTCCTTGCCTGCTCCCATCAAGACCTTTTTCCTCAACATGACCCCCATTGTCAGAGGAGAAATAAATGAAAGTATTATCCTGGAGCCCAAGTGTGTTTAATGTCTCAAGCACCTGCCCAACTCCCCAGTCTAACTCCTGTACAGCATCCCCATATAGTCCATGCTGACTGCTACCATAGAACTCCTCAGATGTACGCAGTGCAGTGTGGACTTGAGTCCATGACATGAAGAGCAAGAATGGCTGGTCACCTTTAGCTTGTTCCTGGAGGAACTGGCGTCCATCTTGAACCAATTTTTTGGTGATTGTCTCCAGGTGCACAGGTTGTTCTACGACTTCATAATTTCTCATCAATATGCTGTTGAGCATTTTGATATTGTTTACAAAAAACACAACATACAGCATAAATACAGTTAAAATTATAATTGAAACTGTGCTAGTGTAAAAACCCAACAGATTTTTTCTTTTGAAGATTACAATTGTTGCAACTGCGATGAAGAAATAAAATGCAATCTCATAATTGACTGTTGGTCTAAAAGTGGTAATGACAGAGTTTCCATCATCACCAAAATCCTTGAGGTTGGTGAGTGGTAGTCCGTAGAAGTAATCAAATCCTTGTCGTAGTGGATGGTGGCAAGGATCCCCTGTATTGTCACAGTAGGTACCAACATGCCACTTGCCTGTAATACACAAAGATCACATACAAATAAAAACATTTCTCATTCATATCTCAGCTGATGTCAAGAACTTTTAAATCACAGAAATGGTGTATCCCACATACATGCACTCCACAAATTATTTAATGCCTCTTGGACTGTCTTGGTAAAATTAAGTTAGATTAAACACTTGTCAGCAAGGTGCGCCTGGCATCCACTCATACATCATACTTACATACATCACATCATCATATGCTATACCTTGCTAACTCATACTGTACTTATTATTTTTACATACCATAGTGAATTAGGACCTATAGATAATAGCCACACAGTACATGTAGATACTAGCACAAAAAAGTTACCAGGGTTGGGAAAAGAGAGTGATAAAACAGGATGGAAGTTTTACACAAAATCCAACATCTTCTTGTCCATTTAACTAAAGAGACTACTTTTGATACAATTAACCTTTATCTTATTGACAATAACACACAGTACACTATACAGCAACATTTGTCAAAATATGCACAGAAGTTTTAACTGTTTTTTTTTCTTGCAGGCTTATAACATTTGCAAAATACTCACCAATAAAAGCAGTCTTGTATCCTGCTTGTTTGGCAATTTCTGCAAATGTCACTTCATCACTAGGCAACCCAGAGGTGCAGGCCACAAATGGAATGATAGTCATTCTCAATGGAGAATCAAAACCTGAAAGATTAAGAAAAAGCAAATAGAGTAAATAATAAACTAGTCTGATCAATCAACCTATAATATTTACAGTTTTTACATTTATCATGGCATTAATTGTCCATGATACCTGAAAAATACTCTGTATAGGTGAAGGCAATGTTGAAAATAATCTTAACTCCACTCAACTGTGTTTCACAAGTTCTCAACTTAAGACCTTAAGGTCCTTAAGACCGCTTTTGACTAAGACCCCATTACCAGAGATTAGATGAATTCAACTAGATCGACCTAACTCCCTGGGGGTTCACGCTAAATAGCTGTCAGCCGAGCGTGCACGAAAGTTAATTACCCCTTTACAGCTTGTAGTAGGCAGGACGGACATTTAAGCCTGATTATCTGACAGTAATCTAGTGAGACTCCCTATGGGGATAGATTGATCTAAAATCTATGGGAATGCACCCTAAATAGTCATTTTGTCAATGTTTTGTGAAACATCTACATGTATACTACAGACACCTGGTTTACCTACCATATCTTTTTGGCAGCCTTCCTGTCAGTAGAGCTGCTCTACTGGGAGAACAAGTGGGTGCCGCAGTGAGGTGCTGGGTTAGCCTTACCCCTTGTCTAGCTATACTGTCAATATGAGGAGTGCTCAGGGTGGTGTTACCAAAGCAGCCAACATCTCCCATTCCAAGATCATCAGCCAGAAATATCACTATGTTTGGTAGTTTCTCTTTGCCTTTTACAATACAGATGCTGACAAAGATGGAAAGTAACTGTAGGACATCCATTCCTGAAATATGAAACAAAATATTTCAGCATACTGGTATTTGTATTAAAATGCTCGGCTTTTAAAATATTAGTAACTTGTCTATGGCTGTATTCCCAGAGCTTTTAGATCCATCTATCCCCGCGGGGAGTCTCACTAGATTACTGTCAGATAATCCAGCTTAAATGTCCGTCCCGCCTACTAAAAGCTGTAAGGGGGTAATTAACTTTCGTGTCTGCTCGGCTGACAGCTATTTAGCGTGAACCCCAAGGGAGTTAGGTCGATCTAAAGTAGATCGATCTAATCTCTGGAAATGGGGTCTATAACTACATATGTGTCTCTCATTATCCTAAATGTCAAATATTCAACAATATTTTGACATACAATGTAGAAACACATTTTGTCACATATTTATCCAAAATGTCAAAACACGAAGAAAAATCATGCTGCATAATACTTGAATGGGAACAATTGATTTTTCTCATGAGGAAATTAATTTGGCATAAGACACTGGATACTTTTTAAGTGCATTATCTCAGCAATAGAAGTATAGTCATAAAAATAATTTAGATTATACACAAGATATTGAAATTGATGTATACACCAGGTACGGTACCTCAATTTTGATAAATAATCCAGCGTCATGCCTTTGGGTGTATTCCCAGAGATTTAGATCGATCCAGAGATTAAAATTTAGATCGACCTAACTCCCTGGGGGTTCACGCTAAATTGCAGTCAGACGAGCACGCACCATAGTTAATTACCCCCATGCAGCTTTCAGTAGGCAGGACAGATGCTTAAGCCAGCTAAGCTGACAGTAATCTAGAGAGTCTCCCCACAGGGATAAATCGATCTAAAATCTATGGAAATGGGGTCTTACAGTAGATACTAGTAATTCTGATTGAGGATGCCCTTTCCCTACCCCACCCCCTCAATCTCAGCTTCACGGCCCCTATTGGCTGTAACAGTTTGCTTAATGTAGATTGTAATATTGCCCATTCTAATGTATCAAATTGAAACATAAAACATGTACGATTAATGTAATATTTATACAGATTCAGTGCTAGTAAAACTAACGTTAGTGCATGTTAGTAGATGTACGTGTACAATGTTCATTTATGTACACCCCTGTACAGTATATACACCTTCGGGTTTTGCTTAATGGGATCCAAGGGGTTCACGACAACGTGCATAACTGCCCACCTCCCTCCCCTTTCTTTCTTGTTGATAGCCCTTCTGAATGACCAAAGTCCTACATGTCAGTGTTGATAATCATCAGTCCTTCGATTTGATACATGCCTATTGGAATATAATGGGTAAATGAGAATATTTCTTTATTTTTGGTATTATTTGGTATTTTTGGTATAGAAAATACAGTCTGGTATCAAAATAATGAAATTAATAAAAGTTTTAAAAAAATTATTTATGAAATAGAAGTGCTTGTTTTTGTACAGATCCTACATTGGGCTAATAAATACATCCGGTGAAGTATCCAATCACAATACGAGAACGTTGCTCGAGCGTTTTACCGCCATTGTTACCTAAAGGCTGCGGAACAAAGGAAGAAGCAGATAGTGTTTTTGACAGAGAAAGACGTCGTATGAGGTAAATTCTTAATTATTACAGTTTGAAAGCTCTCAAAGAACTGAAGATTAACAAGAACATGTTATTTTCACAAACTTCCGTTTCTCTTTTTGATAGCATGGAGAACTCCTTTGACGGTTCTTGCTCATCACATGATGACGTTTACCTTGCCTCTGATGTCGGCGACCTTTTCCCAGAAATAACCGGTGTCGCCAAGCAAGTTGGTGGTGAGAACACCCTTCAGAATGTGCATTCAATGACTGACCAGAAGACCAAGGTTATTCAAGTCAAAATGAGCGCTAGTGAAGAGAGAGAATTTTTGAAGTACCTAAGCGGCGAACAAACAGATGAAAATGGCCAGGCTTCTTTACTCAAACTTGTTATAAGTGACAAGGAGAGACAACCTGATTCTTCTACCAGCCCAGTCCAGTATCACACAGTTAATAGCATTATGCCTGGCAATGCTAATTCAAACCAGGGTAGCTTAATTAAAGTCCCTGTCAACCAAAACCCACTACCCCCGCAGAGGCTCTGTGCATCAAAGAATGCTATTGCTGCCAGAGAAAATAGACAAAAGAGAAAGAAGTATGTTGAGGGATTACAAGATGAAAATCAGCAACTAAAAAGCCAGAATGAAACATTGATGAATCAAGTGGAAAGTTTAATGTCCACTGTAAAGACATTGAGTTCTGAAGTACAGTATCTACAAAGTGTCATCGCCAATCAAAGTGCTCTGTCAGGTTTGCTGAAAAACATCCACAACACCCCTGGGGTACGATTTGGAACATCCTTGGAACAACTGCCTAATGAAGAAAGTCCAGTGCCAGCTCCGGCCCGAAAGGAGAGTAAGGAGAACAACAAAACCGCATCTCCACAACAGTTGACCCGCGCAACAAGAGCCAATAAGAGACAGAAGATGGATAACAATTCAGAGAGTCAGGGGAGGGAAGAAACCATTCCCAGTTCCAGCATCGGCAACAATAACAACAATGAGCAGGATCCAGCAGGAGTTTGTTTACATGTATCTAAGGGTCACGTGTCTTTGGAATTCTGTGCAACATGTAGTGAAAATTCTGTAGGAGCGAGGAAGAGAAAATGTGACAAAGACGACATCATAGTGGTGGATTCTTGACTGATTTAGTCAGAGTAGAAGGCTAAGTATGGCGACTAAAATGTCAGTATTGTTTATATGTTTCTAAAATGATTGACAGACTCAAAAAAAAAAAAAAAAAGAAAGCAAAAAAGAAAAAAAAAAGAAACGGTTATACTGAAGTTATAAGTACCCTTGCCTTGTGTAGTGTGTATCATTTCTCACATTGCCCGCCCTAGTTAGGAATTAATAGGCTGGTGTGGAATGGGGGAGGGGTGACCTTCAAAGATGATATTGATGATTAATGTGAGATTTGGTATATTACTTTCACAGGCTTTTTCTATTTTTGTACATTCACCCTGGTTTGGGGAGAAACAGAACCAGAACTGAACAATTTCATGTTTACTTTACAGCTGGAAAATGTCTGCTAAGAACTTCAAATGATGTAAGGAGGAACACATTATGGTGTAGTATAACCATGGTCAATGGTCCGTATCATTTCTGTGTTTATATTGATTTATTTTGTGAGGTCATTTTTCTTTGGTTTAAGGGTTTACAGTCTTGGTCTATTTCGACTCTGAATGGCTTTAAATTGACAAGTATTGATGGCTGTGGTATGCACCTAGTCACAATAGAAAATTATAAGCCCTTAAAGAAAGCAAAGTGGCACAATTGTTTTAAAATATTGAAATAATGAAAGCGTTTATGACACCAAAGATGATATGGTTGTAGATTTTAATTGTGGAACATTTTTGACAGGCAGATAGTTAAAAAAAACACTTTGCAATTCACCACATAACACTGACATGACCACATCTCAAATTTTATTTCACAATTCACACAAATCTCATACAAAAGAATATCAACTTCAGGACTCCTTTGTGGCCTCTGTTAAGTTTGAATTGATATTTAAACAATTCAACATCATTGGCTGCTGGGAGTTGCCAGTAGTGAGCTCTGACTTAACAAAAAAAAAATCTTGTTGCATAATTGGCAGCAAACATTTGGATCATCTCTCAGCTCACTTCTGGATTCAACTTGTAAAATTTATTGTGATTCATTTGTTTTTTTCTTTTCTTTTTCAGGTGAAGAGGCCATAAAAAGTTTCTGGGAAGCGATTAAGATTTAATATTTTACCACATACATTCTATGATGGTAAGGTGTCTGATTCAATTATCATCCCTCTGTTGATGCATATTTTCTATTTATTAAACACACAACACATCTAAAGCATTAAGAAGTACCTGTCAAATATGACATTTGCACAAAAACTGATCAAATTTGTAATTGTATGTATCAGAACTGCCTAATGTTTTGTTATTCATTATCATGCCATATGAAGATAAACTAAAATGTGCTAATAATAATAGGATTATGTTAAGAACTCCCAGAAGTGAAATACAGTTAAAGATATATATGAAAGTAAACTTTAGGGAGGGGGTGTTTTGTGAATGGAATTAACAGTGGGACCATGTAATGGGCTTGCCATTGTTCCTTTTCATGGCTGCAGTCTTTCATGCAGAACTGAGAACCAGTATTTTTTGGATTTCACCATTCTTGGCAGAGTGGTTGTAAGTATTGCAAGTAAGTACTGCAAGGAGCATTCGTGCAATTAAGTGTTGAAGACGCTATTTTCACATATTTTGAGTGTTAATGGGAATGAAGTAATCTCAGATTGTCTGACAAATAATAATTTGCCAGCTATTAGTTGGTTAGCTGACGGTTTAGCCTGAGCAACGTTATCAAAGAAATGTTAGACATTCTACACGTGGAAAGCAAGAAGGAACATTTGGAACCTTGTGAAAGAATAACAAGTTATGATAACATGTATTTGAGATGCAGAGGTTCTAGTGAGAAGTGGATGTCTGGGGTATTATAATAGAATATATTTACACTTGTGTGCATTGCATTTTTGATAAAAAAAAAAGAAAAACTTTGCTCATTATCAAGGATAGGTATACCATATATCAGTTTCAATGCTGAACTTCTTTGCATGGGTGTAAAAGTGGAGTTGATTTAGAAGTTGTTCTTAAATGTTGAACTGATATCAACTTGGCTTTTTGCATTTGAATTTGTATTACGTAAATGTGGAGCAGGCTTGAGCATTGTAAAGAGCATGTACTTATGAAATGGTACAGTGGTTTCTTGTAGTTTTTCTCATGAGATTTTTTCCATAGTATTTCTTGAAAGATAAATATCCTTACTATGATACAGAGATAAATTATATATGCTTGAATTATGAAGATGCATAACTGATCACCATAGAAGGACTATTGGATCAGTGGGGTAAAGGAAAATGAAGCACTTGCTTGTGAGATATCTTTCTATTGTGATCAAAGTGAATTGCCAATAATTCAGATATTCAGTTGATAAGAACAGTTTAATTGTCAATAAATGTACATAACATTTTGTTTAATATTCATGAATAAACTATGAACTGAATAATGTCTTTTGTGAATTTTTAATTGAAAAACTTCAGTTAAAGGAGATGCACAGTCTTCCTAATGATATTTTTTATCTTTTGAAGTTTTGTAACTGGGTCAGCTAAGGTGGACTGAGTATTGGTTGGAGATGCAGTAATTTTTATGAGAAAAAGGGGACCACACTTAGATGTAGGCAGTGTGTTTTATCAAATTTTCAGTCAAATTGGAAAACTGGATCTTGCATAATTTAACAGTGCTTATATGAATCTGCCTTATCTGACCTTCCTCAGAAATCTAAAAAAAAAAAAAAAAAAAAAAAACAGCCTCTATGTACATTTATCTCCACATTTAAGGTATCCCATCTAGGATTTTCTTTCCCACTCAATTATCCCAAATTTTTTTCTCTGACAAATGATTGCTTGAACTTTCCCTGCATTTGGATTTGAGGTTTTATGCAATTTCTGATAAAATAATTACTTCTAAATGACTGTCATGTTACTTAGGTAACCATACATTCTAAAACATTTTGATGAAATATTGACAGTACTTTAACTGTGTATTTTATTTTTTTAGGTCTAAATTGGGAATGAAAAGTAGCTTTGCAATTTATGTAAACAAAAAATATTGAGTTTGGGATGTTTTGAAATGTGGATGATATACCTTAAATTACAAATGCATAAGTATTCTACATAAGTTCTGTCTAAATAGATTATTTTTAATTAATGTTATGGAATTCCAAGGCTAGCCCAATAAACTCCACAGAAAAAAAAAAACTTGTTATTGTTGATGTTTCCTTGTTTAAATATGAAAAAGCTTGTCTATACACACTAAGTAATGACTACAAAAAATATCCGTTTTGTTAACTGGCTGCCTCTAGACATTGTGCCTTGACATTGACACTTCCATCATTATGCAACCTTTGGCCAATGAGAACCCCCCATCCAGGCATGTGATGTGACACCATTGTCCAAGTGTAGGTGATGTAACAGGGTAGACTGACCTAGTCAATATGCTATTATTTGTCCAATGTCCTTTGAATGGTCTTTTGAATATGAAGTGATATAACATCACAAGTTGCAGCAACAAAATTAACAATTTCACAATAAAGCATGTAAAGTTTGAAAAATAATGGTTATCATAAAAATGTTTACAACTATTTACAATATACGTATGGTTTCCCTTTTATGACTAATGTGAACACATTCTTGAACTACATTTACCTGCATATCTACACTGACCCAGTTAATACTGGAATTAAATCACATGTTTGTCAACACTGGCAAGTGACTATTTGCACCTTCATGAGCAGTAACGGATTAAACATTAAATAACGTCCTGGCCAGCTGATGGCGAGATAACATGTAAGCTTTGTCACAGAGGTCCAATGAGGAAGTTAAATATTACCCAGTGATGTGCACAATGTAGTATATATCAGAGAAACCAAAGGAAAAAGCCTACCATACTGTGTAGAGGTGTGAAATATGATGGGCATAACTGTGCAGACCCTTTTGCTGGGATTTCTGTTTGTAGCCTGCACATCTGGTAAAGGTAAGAATGTTTTCAGGTTATTTTTCAAATAAAAAGTTTAATTTTAAAAAACAATTTATTTATTTATTTATTTATTTATTTATTTATTTTTTGATCAGTTATTGATAACAGTGTGTAGTAATGCAACTGTACTGGTACCTGTATTATGAATTTGTATTTTTTAAATTTAAATTTGAAATTTAGTTTTTAAATGATTAATTAACCCACTGTATCTTGGAGAATACCTTAATGTAATAAACATTTTTATTAAAATCACAAAACAAGACTTGAAAATAATTGTAAAAAACCACATGCCTAATGAAATTGAAATGTTGGAATTAGGGATAGAAGGAGTTTTTTTTTACTAGTCTTATAGTTTCTTTATTTTGAAGAAATGTAGGATAATCCGTATTGTTGGCTTTGCATCACAAAAATTATTTGGTAAAATCCTGTGTAGATAGGGAAAAATTGTCTAGAAGAAGAAGAAATGCATAATGAACTGTATAATAAAAATAGCAACGTTCACTCTTTATCAGTTTATTACTCTCGTGATACCACACGTGTCATGAGCAGCTCTTAGTACATTACTATCTTGTGCTTATATAAGATAACACTATCATCTTGTTTCATTTTTGGACTAGTTGATAAATAAACTAGATCAATAGGACTGGGTTAATTTGATAGGTCACAGCTATTTGGTAATACCCTAGTTTAATGGACAAACTTGATTTTTTAAAAAAATTTTTATTATTATTATTATTTTTTAATTAATTAAGCTTATGATGAATAACATAATGAAAGAATTTTATTCTTGAAAATATTGCCCTTTTCTTGTGTTTGATCCTTTTCCTTTGCAAATCCTGTGATTGTACATGGATTTGACATATAGGTATTCATTCAGAATACCTGTTTTCAAGTGATCACTCATTTACCCCTATATCATTCACATTTGCTGTAATAACTTGTCGTAAAGTAATTGACAATACTTCAACTTGCAGATTTTACAGAGAAGTGGTACCAGGTGGTGGATCTAATTGCCAGCAATGCAACCTTGACAAGTCAGTTTTTATCTGCTGCACAGCAGAAGGACAAGCTGGTAGGTACAAAAATATCTCAATGAAACCGGATGACTTCATTTTAGGGAAATGCAGTTGAATATTATTATAGCTGCGCAGATGTACTTAGTAGATGAGTGGTATTCATTGAAAAAAAAATATCTATAAATGTACTTTCTAACACTCATTGTGTGTCTTGAAATGTTTAAAAACTCAAGATAGGTCANGCCGATTTTAAGATCGTTCGAAATTCAAGAGCCGTTCGAAATTCATGGCACTTTACCGTAGTTCCTTTATTTTGAAGAAATGTAGGATAATCCGTGTTGTTGGCTTTGCATCTCAAAAATTAAATGGTAAAATCCTGCGTAGATAGGGAAAAATTGTCTAGAGGAAGAAGAAATGCATAATGAACTGTATAATAAAAAAAGCAACGTTCACTCTTCATCAGTTTATTACTCTCGTGATACCACACGTGTCACGAGCAGCTCTTAGTACATCACTATCTTGTGCTTATATAAGATAACGCTATCATCTTGTTTCATTTTTGGACTAGTTGATAAATAAACTAGATCAACAGAACTGGGTTAATTTGATAGGTTACAGCTATTTGGTAATACCCTAGTGTAATGGACAAACTTGATTTTTTTTTTTTTTTTTTTTTTTTACAAATTAAGCTTATGATGAATAACATAATGAATTTTATTCTTGAAAATATTGCCCTTTTCTTCTGTTTGATCTTTTTCCTTTGCAAATCCTGTGATTGTACACGGATTTGACATAAAGGTATTCATTCAGAATACCTGTTTTCAAGTGATCACTCATTTACCCCTATATCATCCACATTTGGTGTAATAACTTGTCGTAAAGTATTTGACAATACATCAACTTGCAGATTTTACAGAGAAGTGGTACCAGGTGGTAGATCTAATTGCCAGCAATGCAACACTGACAAGTCAGTTTTTATCTGCTGCACAGCAGAAGGACAAGCTGGTAGGTACAAAGATTTCTCAATAAAACTGGATGACTTCATTTTAGGGAAATACAGTTGAATATTATTAAAGCTGCACATATGTACTTAGTAGATGAGCGGTATTCATTGAAAAGATCTATGATATATTAATGTACTTTCCTATGAGTATAATAAGTTAGACTCAATCTTCATTAGAAGAGCAATTAAAAGAACAAACTTGTTAATGATTTTGGATATGGTGTACACTCACTGTGTCTTGAAATGTTTAAAAACTCAAGATAGGTCAAGGGGGGGGGGGGGGGGGGGGAGAGAGATTTTCTACCATCCTGATATTATTTAAGTGACTTTCATTTTTTATGAGATATGTCATATGATCTCCTGCATTTGGACCACAGGCATGATAACTTGTGATATGATGACAAAATAAGGGAAACTGAAATATAAACTGTCACTGCAGAGGTGTGATCACGACTCATCCGTTTTGATTTCATAACATAAAATAATGGAAATGAAATTGTTCACAGGAAGTCAATTTGGTTTGCATTTATTTATCATATTTTAACTATGAAACCTAACCATTACAAAAAAAAAATAATAAATAAATAAATAAAATAAATAAAATAAAGAATATAAAAAGATACATTAGATATTGTGTGATTCAAGTATTAAACTTTTCAATTTCTACACCAAAAATAAAGCTATACCTGACAGAGCTTTCGATCACATCCTTGATCTTCTTCAGTGTGATGTCATAAAAATGTCTATTTTTAGTGTAGAAATTGAAAAGTTTAATACTTGAATCATATCCTGACTACACAGATGAATTTCCATCAGAATAGATCCTTATTGTGTGTCCATTATACCATGATTTGCAGGAGAAGTATATTATTTCTAGCAACTTGAATGAAACAAACAAACAAAATAAAAGAAAATGAAAAGATGAGTAAATATTGATGGGAAAATTGCATAATTCAGAAAATTGCATAATAAGTTGGGTTTTTGACCGCTGCTTTTGCCTTGAGGGAAGAGACTTGTCTCGACTTGTGATGACTGTTATACACTCACTGTCCACTTGGTTTTAAAACATCTTTATTTGTCTCTTTCAGTACATACAGGTATATATATGTATAGTTAAATTTTTATTGGTCGGAGACCTTTAATCATGGAAATATGATGGTATCGTTTAAAAAATGAATTGTATTTTTTACATTTTAGTTTACATTAGGCCATTGGTCATTTCAGCCTGTTTTCACTATAATGCATATATAGAACAAATTCCAATGTACTACTCCTATAAATTAAATACATTAGGTCTCATGTGTGTTGGAAGATGAATCAAGATATTTAAAATGAACTAATTTTCTCATTGACTGACTTTTCAGAGTGGTGGTATGAGTCATTTCCCTTGTGCTGCTATTGATCCATCTCCTTCAGTGCCAACCTCAGGTTAGGCTTTTATTTTAAAGGCTTGATTTAAATGATAACTTGATTTATGTTTTGTCACATGAGAAATTTGTGCTGCAATTTTAATGTGAAGAAAAAATACATGTAGTACTCTTTCAGTCACTTTAAAAATTAATCTTTTCAAAAGTGCATAGATAATTTTATAGTTATGAATCTTCAAGCTACTTTAAGATGAAAAAATGAGCCACTATATGTTCCTAATTGTTGTTTTTTATGGGTAATATTTTTTTGTCAAGGACATATATTGTGTAAGTTTTTTAAAAATATGTACTTCTTCAAAACATTTTTTCCTCTTTATTTCAGTACACCAGTTAAGGCCATCAGATGTCCAGGTTGTGGCAGCCATGGGGGATTCCTTGACTGTAAGTTGATCAACATTGATCTTGATTAAATAATTGAATAATAGCGAAAACAACTGAAACCTACTTCTCATCAAAGGTTTTAGAAAAATACTAGAAAAAGCTGAAAGTAAAACAACAGTATACAAGACAATGATATACTTTTTTCTGACACTTTGCTCCCTTTGTTAAGATTATGTTGTATGACTTTGCCCACTACAAAATTTTATAACTTTCACTGGCACACTGAAAGTAAATAACTTAATACAGGGGATTTAAAATCTAAAGCAAAGGAAGGGTCCCTATGCCATCTGCCTAATGTCAAACTATTTCATTCAAAGTTTTTTATTGTTTCCCTTATCAATAATGAAATAATGATATAATTTTCAGGCTGGTACAGGGATACATGCTCTGACTGTAGTTGGGGACCTTTTTGGCTGGAGAGGCGTGTCGTGGAGGTAGAGGTCTTAAATTACACCAGAACTTAGTCCCATCTTAACCACCAATTTTTTAGTCTAATGTGAAGTTACCTTTTCTGTAAATTACGTTTTATGGTGTCCTAAACATATTTTACTTATATTCTATTCAATTTGCTGTAGATATGGCAGACTGGGGATTCATTATTTAAGAACAATGGGATTTGGTTGCCAATTTGTTAATAGATCTTTTCTTGCTTCAGCATTGGTGGAGATGAAGATATCCACTCAGTGATCACTCTTCCAAGTACGTATTGTTTCTCTCTCTCTCTCTGTGTGTGTGTGTGTGTGTGTGTGTGTGTGTGTGTGTGTGTGTTTGTGCCTGAGATAAGAATTAATAATGATAAATATAATCCATGAGCTTTAAGCTCTACAAGTAGTAATAATAAACAGAAACATATGAAAAGGGAACTTAGCACTCATGTAACTAGAGTCACCTGTCTAGACGCATGTTGGTGCATAGATCAGGGAAGATAATGTTAATCTGCTTGTCATCTGATTTATCATTATGATTATTATCATGATTGGTCTGATACATCATGGTGCACATAGATAAATTATTACTACTTAAATGATGATTAAAGATATACTTTATGCTTCATAAAATTTTCCAGAGTCATATCCTGCAAAGCTACAAATCTTTCCTAATTCAGACCTTAAAAACTATGAAACCACTCAAATAAAAGTACCTTAAATGATGATTAAAGATATACTTTATGCTTCATAAAATTTTCCAGAGTCATATCCTGTAAAGCTACAAATCTTTCCTAATTCAGACCTTAAAAACTATGAAACCACTCAAATAAAAGTACCTATCGTCAATATACTTCCTTTTGAAATGTATAGGAAGACATGATATAAATGACTGGCCAGTTATTATGAACTAATAGTATTTCATTAAAAATGGAATAAAACATAAATTTCAAACTGTGCATGTCCATATTAGGGAATGATTCGTGGGTAACAGAAAATTACTCCAAAAAACGTCATTTTGGTGGGTAAATACAGTATAAAGTACCTAAAAGAAATAATTTCTTCTGATTTTGCATTCTGTTTAACATTTGTGATTTTTGGCGGATTGTTGATGATGTTTTAACCTTTACTACCAGCTATCTTATCTGCAGTTAAAAGTCCTGTGATCCTCATTATTAGAAAGTGACAACTGAGTTGTTATGTGTAAAGGTTGGGCATATGACGTGACATTTAGTCATTCCAACATCACATTAGGGTGCATCTTTAACATTAAGATTTCTATCAACTGAATTTTTCTTGAATTTTACTAATGGAAATCCTTGTTGCATACTTAATGCAAATTAACAGATTATTACCTTTGACTGCGTTTATTCTGTGTCCGAAGAAAATGTTTCTTGATGGTTTGAATGAGGTTTGAACACGCCCACCCACACCTGCATTCTGCTTTGTTGATATTTTTTAAATAATAATTTTTCACTTTTTCAGACTTGCTTAAACAGTATAACCCTCATATCAAAGGCTTCAGCATTAAAAAGACAATAAGTATTATAGGTGTGGACAACCCCAGGTCCCGTTTAAATGCAGCACGTGCTGGAGATGAATCAAGGTAAACAGTTTTCTGTGTCTGATAAAGAGACTGTTTTTTTAATAATCCAAGTTTTCTGTTCATTTCAGATATACTTAAGCAGTATAACCCCAATATAAAGGGTTTTAGTATAAAGAAGACCTTGTCAAGAGACAATGATAGTCCTTATGCTCGATTAAATGTGGCAAAAGGTGGAGATAAAACAAGGTAAATTCTTTGCCTACTCTCCCCCCACAGCAAGGTATGTAGTTTCTGCACCTCTCTTCCTAGCACATTTGTGCAACACTTAGCCCTAATGCCAGTTCAAGTAAGCTGCCTTTCCTAAGCATGCAACTGGAGATGGGTGCAATTAAGTTACTCAGGCAGGACCTGGAACAATTCTGTGAAGGATATTTCCCTTTTATTTATTTATTTATCATGAGGCACATATGATTATGATTAATACATTAATTTATCCAACGTTTTTCTTAACTTTTGTATGGATTGGAGGGAGCAGTTGTATGCAGCTATAGGGATGTGGTTTTATTTTTGGTCTCTTTTTTTTTTAACATGCTCGTTTTGCTTTTGGTTTCTACTTTATTACCTGTATGAGGGGAATGTCACCTTGTGAAATTAATAATTATAATTAACTACTGTTGTCCTTTTAATCATAAATTTAAAGTGATAACAACTGTTCATTTTGGCCAAAATATGGATTTTCCTGGGGTAGTTGTCCTTTTAATCATAAATTTAAAGTGATAACAATTGTTCATTTTGGCCAAAATATGGATTTTCCTGGGGTAAAGGACAATTTCCCCATACTTAACAATATTTAATGAATCCATTTTGATCCCTGTTTTTTTTCTAAAAAGTTTGGTTTTTTGTAATATTCTCTTAAGAGATTATTACAGAGTATAGCCATCTATGGAGGTCAAGTGTGATGGCAAGTACAAATTCCAAAATATTGTGTTAATCACCATTTGGTGGTAAAACAGACTTTATTATATTTCTATAAGTTGTTTACAATGTATTTATTGTGAAGCATGGACATCATACGAATAGTTGTTATCCCTTTAACTTTTAGGGTTTTATTATTTGTTAGATAGAGAGCAGAAGTGAATGACTCCAACAATTTAATTTCCATAATGTGAATTCTTTTGCTGTTTAGGTATATATATTCCAAAATATTGATCAATTTCTAAAAAAAATTCACAAAATTAATAATCTTTGTTTAAAAAGCATGACTAGATATTAATTTGTGTCAACATTTTTCTTAGCATTTAAAAATAAAATGAAAACAAAGTCTTCTCTATCCAGTCATATGCCAGATCAAGCGAGGAAGTTGGTGTCTAGAATGAAGAGCATGCTGGGAAGTAGTTACGCCACTGACTGGAAAGTTATTACTTTGTTCATTGGAGGCAACAACCTGTGTAGTTACTGTGAAGACCCAGTGAGTAACACTTTATAAATAGTGGTATTTCCTTCAGAATGATACAGGTACATGCATATGCCATGGTGTTTAAGGAAGTGATCATTAAAGGTACTTTTTAAATTTGTTTTTTCACTTAACTTTTTACAAAGAAAATTGAAAGATTATATACCGTGCACATGATGCACAATAATGATGAAAAGACCATGGAGGAATACATTACTTATTCATGCTGTATTTCATAGTGGCCCCTGCACATATAGACACTTCTGCTTGTGCACACACATCCTTAAAATGTAAGCAGAAGTCTCCATTTTAAAGGAGGCCTCCCCCCACCCCCCACCCCCCCAAAAAAAAAAAAAATTAATATATGCCAGAGCCACTATTACCTTAAACACTATTATTCATCATACTAAATTCATAAATGTGAAAAGTCATTCTAACCTTTGTTTAGACGTAAATACTACTAAATTATGGTTCTTTAATTTATTAACTGGGATGTAGAAAGCTCCTTTTACAAGTGTATATATCTAGGTCTACTTACTAGTATTAATTCATCTGAAGTTTTTTCTAATAACCTGGGTCCAAATCGGTCACAAGGCCTATGGACAGTATAAATCTAGAAGATGTATTATTACTTAATAGCAGCACTGGCACTGGAGTCAGCCAGGAGGACAACTTGTCCACATTCAGCAGATTTTCAGATATCTTAAATATTTTGGTCATTAGTCCTCCATGGTTTACTTTATATGAAATTATTCATCAGTAATTGGTAAAACAAAACTTTATTTTAATGATTAAAATTAACAAGGTTTCTCAACTGCATCAATATGTGTGATTACAGAAGTTAGGCCAATTTTGGTGCAGGGCATGCAGTCATTGTGTGAACTGACATTTTGGTATAGGTTGTTATGGTATCTTTCAGGATGGAGCCCAAAGTCCAGAACAGTACATTACAGACATACGGAATGCCCTGGACATTCTACATCAGGAAGTTCCCAGAGCCTTTGTCAATCTTGTGGAAGTTTTCCAAGTTGAACTTATTGAGCAACTGAACCTAAACCTGCTGTGTAATATAGTCCATAGGTAATTAACATAATTTTGTGTAGCATGATATTATTATGTATGTACTACATGTATTAAAGTGCAACTCTCTCTTCACACAGGTATAATAATGCCAGAAAATGACAAAATAGTCTTTTTGTTGAAAAAAAAAACATTATACTTGAAAGAAATCTTTGGTTTCCTTGAAACAAGGATAGGGTTTGTTAAAAAAAGATAAGAGATGATAAAAAACCACATACACTGCAAAAACACATGGGTATTTGAAGATAAGGAATCATACTTATTTTGACACATTAGTGACTGAATTTATGAGAATATAAATTATAATAGCACTGGAGTTATAGAAATAAAATTTTTCTGTATCCAAATACTAAGTACTAATATGTACATTATAACTGTCTTATATTATTATAAGTGTTTATTAAAGATGTTCACTTTAAATGTCTAATATTTTAATAGATTAAATCTTATTTCATTTTAATACTTTTAACATCTTTGTATGTACAAACTATATTTTCTATAAAGAGAAAAAAGTAAAATAATCTTTATTATTTTCTTTCATAGCATTACATGTGATTGTGCAGCTTTTCCAAAAAGTGAAGCTGCACTTGAGGCATTGAAAAGGGCAAATAAAAAATATGGTGAAAACCTGAATGCATTAGCCGACAGTGGTAGATATGATACCAGAGATGACTTCACAGTGGTGGTCCAACCTTTCTTCAGAAATACAATGTTCCCTACACATGCAGATGTAAGTTGGATATGTTGATGTGGTATTTTAATAGATCTTTCCAAGAAAAAAAAAATTTCAATATAAATTTTAATAAATCATGCTAAAAAGTATCCTATAAGAATATTCCAGCCAATTCTTATTTTCCCAAAATAAAAGCAATTTTCTCCTACTCTTGAATCATTGCTCAGCCTGTTCTAGATTGAATGTTTTATACCATTTTAATTAAATAATTTCCTTGAAAATGACAGGTCAGTCACATAGACTACCATGTTTTATTGTATACTTCAAATGGAAACATTTTTTACATGTTGGATATAGACAGTTGGCCAGATCATTATTATTATTGTAACAGATGTACTCTTGGCCTGCAGGCCTGAACTTCAGTTGAATTAACCAGATATATACACAGCCATTTAGTGCAAACTGTGACAACAGGAGTCAAAGTTTGAAAAAAGTTGTATGTTAACATTCAAGGTATACATATTAGCTAAATTGATCATCTGTATGTTAATGCAAGTAAAAGTTACACCTGTCAATTATAGTCTGAATTAAGTTTCATTTAAACTTACAGGGTTCTACTGACTCCAGCTTTGTAGCAGCCGACTGCTTTCATCTCAGTGGCAAGGGTCAGGCAGCCATGGCAGAAGCCCTGTGGAACAACATGGTCAGATTTATTTCTGATAATCCCGAATTGGGGTCAATTTGAGAAAAATGTGGAAAGAGATAAATGCCATCTTATTTTGAAAAGAAATTCAGTAAAAAATTAAGATCTTTAATGACTTTTTTGTACAATACATCATATTACAGTTTCATATTTATCAAACTGAGTTTTTAGATATCTAAATTAATATATATATATATATATATATATATATATATATATATATATATATATATATATATAATACCTCTTTTTCATTTTCATATATCAGGTGGAGCCAGTAGGTGGGAAACGTACAGAATGGAGGGTTGGGGAAGCACTGGAGTGCCCTACAAATGCTCACCCATACTTCTACACTAAGAAGAACAGCAACCCATCTTTCCTGCAGAGTGTTCAGAGCAATGCCATGGTGGGGAGCATGGCTGGCAACGGAGCTGGAAAGAGTTACGATCAGTTGACGGCTGCAGATACTAATACTTTTCAGGGAGTTCATGGAACTGGGATCATCATCGGCGCCGTAGGAGCCGGCATACTGCTCGGTGCTCTGTTGGTGGCAGGTGTTCTTTATCGCAAGTATCAGCTTAGAACTGGTGGTGAGAGGCGGGCCCTTCTTCAACCCAATCCAGCTGCTTGATTGAGATATTAGTGTTGAAGTTTTCATTGATGATGAAGCATTCAAATGGATTTAAAGTTTGGAACTGGAACTATTGCATCATTCAAAGGATTAAATACTCACCCACTGTGATCTAAATGAAATCAGGTACCAGTGATATTATTTTCATGTACTTGAAAGACATTTGAACCAAATTGTTTACTTCTTAGTGTCCTTATTGGGCATAACATTTGTCTATGCTTTTTACCATAGTATGATAATATTTTGAATCACATTTTTCTGTGATAACCAACATTAGAAGGTCTGCTCATTGATTGTGTTAGTGTCTTATTTGATGCATTAATAACAAGAAAAATAATGACTGTACTGGCTAAGTTAAGATATACTGAACTATTACCAGGATTGTAAAACCCAGAGAATTAATAATAAAGTGTTAGAACAGTATAATTATTGTATTATTATCAATTACTTCAGCTTTCAAATAAGAAATCACATGAAATAAAATTGTATTCAAGAATGGTATTATTATTGTTTTTATTAATTTCAGCTGCTTCCAAGTGCATAGAAATCATTAATAAAATTGCACTCAAAAATGGTATTTATTTTTTAAAAATAGTTGACATTACACTTTAAAGTCGAAAGCAATGGTTGATAATGATAAATTATTGTGTTGGGCAACTTTCTTACGCGACAAATTTGTAATGAAAAAAAATTGAGCATATAATTACCACAAGATTATAAGTTGTTTCTAATGAAAGTTTTAAATGAAAGCTTTCCCAAAAATCACATGAATAACTTCTTTTCTTTAGCTTGCTACTGCTTCTTTCTAATCGATCCCACCACCCCTAGACATTTCTTGACCCAAAGCAACGGGGCGAGAAAGACGGCAGCACAGGTGAAAGCTCGAATTTGGCGCGTCTTGTCGTAACTACAGGTACATCAGCAAGTGCTGCCATCTCGCCGTTGTTGTGTTGTTAACGAAAGTGAAAATTTGTATAAGAGGAAGAGTCAATCGGTATCTCTCTCAGTCTGCCGAAAGCCGTCAGCGAAAACTTCGCGAGGGAGAAAGGGACACAATCATGGCAAGAAGTCCAGTGAAAATTCGAAACTTTTTCGACTTCTCAGCAAAGCTGTTGTCTGGTGAAGATATCAACATGAGCCGCTACAAGGGCAAAGTGATTCTGGTGGAAAACGTCGCCTCCTTGTGAGGCACGACTGTACGGGATTTTACCCAGATGAACGAGTTGAACTCCAAATTCAAAGGTCAGCTCGTTGTCTTGGGATTCCCGTGCAATCAGTTTGGTCACCAGGTAAAGTTATTTCCGTTAAAATGTTAAATCAATTTCACCTCGACTTCTAGATTCTTTAGAAAATCTTATCAAGTTTTGTAACATGAACAGCTGGCGTGATCACTGCTAAATAATCAATAGTAGGACGTTGCCCTCTCATTGAATATAAAACGCTTATACCAAAAACGAACAAACGTTTAGAATTAATGAGATATTTGAATATATTGTTTTCTTTAAAATCTAATACCATATATAGTTCCGGAGGTCAGAGAAGCAGGCATATTCAGCCTGCAAAAAATACCTTATCAGTCTGAGCAAAACCATTAGGAAAGCATGCACGATAGACCAATCCTTACAGAACTTTGTTTGCACAAGATAAAGCAAAGTGGTTTCAACAAGTTCAGCTCGAGGCAAACACTTAAGCATACATGTTTGCCAAGTACAAGTACCTTTTGCTTTTTTAGATTTATTATGTAAATTTATATAAATCTGCAAAAGCTTAAAGTGTATGTATATCACTATGTGAATGTGTATTCTGAAAGAGTGAGCATTATTTGGTCCAGTTTACCCTCAAATTTAATGAATGTATTTTGCTACTAAATGACCCTAGAGTTGCTCATATATGTATGTATTCAGATGTATGTAAAAGACAATGATCACATGTATAAATGTAATTCTTGACTGTCTTGATCATAAATGGAAACTGTGGATCTCCACCTAACAGGACTGATGTGGTTTTCAAAATCATAATATTCTAGTACTTTACTCATAATGTAAAATGATAGAAAATATCCCAATTGTCCTCATTGGGCAAACTTTATTTGCTTATGACTGTTTTTACCTGCATACACTAAATGAGTCACATGCAAATAGAATTTTAAGGCTTTTAGAATGACATGTTTTTAGAGATCTAATTGCATACGTAATGCTCAGTTTCAGAAACATTTATTTCAAATTAAAAAAAAATCATAGACACTGAATAATTCCTTTTATATTTAGGAGAACGCCTCAGGCCAGGAAATCCTAAATTCCTTGAAGCATGTACGCCCTGGAAATGGATTTGAACCAAACTTTCCAATCTTTGACAAAGTTCTTGTGAATGGACAGGATGCCCATCCCATCTTTCAGTTCCTTCGAGAATCACTGACATATCCTTCCGACGAACCAACAGAATTTATAAGCAACGCTAAACTTATCATTTGGGAGCCTGTCACACGATCAGACATTGCATGGAATTTTGAAAAATTTTTGATTGGTCCGGATGGAAAACCATACAAACGTTACAGTCGAAAGTTCCAAACCTGTAACATTGGTTATGACATTGCTGAGCTTATAAAACTGCACAACTTGTAATTCGAACTTGCGTAAAGACAGATAAAAAAATTGAATGCTTATATCTTAGTTGATGATATCTTAAAATTTGTATTTGATGAATGAAAAAAAGTGTCATAGCTTTGTTTTATTGGTAAATATAGTCACGAGATGAAGTGATGTGCATGATTTCAAAAATCCACATTTTGTGTTTTAGACTTTTGCCCTCGAGTTTCTTGTTAATGAACAGCTGCTACATCCTGTTATCTCACATACTGCTTTAAAGTGATTTTTATATACCGGGTGTTTATTTCCAAGAATTTTCTCAAGGCTACAGTATTTGATACACTTCTACGCAATGATATTATCTAGGATTTTTATAGTGAACTGTTTTAGTTTTTAAGTCCATAGTTTACATTACACTATTATAAATAAGAGATTTTTACAGGCGGTATTACAATGGTTCTCAGTTTCTACTCAATTCTGCTCCCAAGATAATTAAGTGCTTGAAGTTAAGTTTTTACAATGTATCAATTTATACAAAAGATATAACTATTTATTTAAGAGGCATTGTGAGATTTGTGATGTGCTGAAATATGAAGCTGGATTTCTTCAACTGCAATGTCACTGAGCTTTTGATAATGCCACTAAATTGTTTATGTGATTGAATCATTGTGTGTATTATCCACATATTTGTGTCATCTGGTTAAATTCTCATTCATGTGCCTCAATGGCTGTACACAGTTGACAGCATCCTGTTGTACAATATTAGTGTGTGCCCAGTGTGGAAGTATTGTGTGTATGAAGGTGTCCACCCAAAGCCATACAGGTCAGGGGACACTGGACGGTGTCACAAACTGACCACACTGGGTTATGACACGCCATGGTACAACCTCATGCTGCAATGATGGTGGACCAATAAAATTGTAATTGATATTATGATCACTGACTTATTGCTTGTAGGTTTTTGACCAATAAATTGTAATTGATTTTACCATCACTGACTTATTGCTTGAATGTTTTTGATGCCTGCTTTTACATTAACTCAAGTTATGCATTTTTAGAAAATGGACAAGTTACATAATTGCTGCAATATTTCATGAAATACCTAGCTGCCAGGTTTTTGTCCTTTCTGCCCATTAATCATCTTTCATAACCAAGATATTTGAAATTATAACATTCTGAAATCTGGTTCGTGAGATAACATTTGGTCACAATGAGTCTAATCCTTATTTCCCTTTTCTTGTGATCTAATCTTTAACATGACATAAAGTGAAGGAAATGAAACATCAAACATAAGTCAGGTGACTTGGAAAAAAAAGTAATATTGCTGAATCACTGTTGTTCTCTAGGGCTTCGGTGACATTTTGATGGCTGGTTGGCAACCATTAATGTCTTTACTTATGAAACCACAGGATTGCAGAAATCTGATTTTATAACTTATTGCTGAGTCACTGATTATTAGTGCATTTTGCTGATCATCATTCCTGTAGAGCTTAATATATGATTATCACCTTCGATGTAGATTATGTGATTATGTAATGAAATCAATAAATTGCAATGACCGTGCATGTTGAGTTGGACAGTCCAAGTGCACTTTATTTTAGCTGAAATTAAATAGTACAAAATGAAAATAAAGAATTTTTTCTGATGCCCAAACAATCTTCAAGTGGTAGTATAAGTGCAGGTTTGCTTTTAAGAGGTCAAAGTCAGTAATGATTCCCTGGGTAATGAAAAAACAGCCTGGTGTGTAATGTATGCAGTGTGACTGTGAATAATATGCTTGTCTTAATGCATTCACAGCTAGCTAGCTTGCCCATATAGAATGATTGCCATCTGTTATTCTCATGCACTTTTTTCTATTTCAAATTAAACATATATAGTAGTCTTACATGAACAGCTGAGCAGTTTGTTGTAGACCATTAATTTTATAGAATGTCAGTGTGTATACCAGTCACTCTGACATGCAATGTGTTTAAATCAATAATTCAAACAGGAAATTACTGAAATAACCTATAAGACATCCAGATGGAAAGTTTATCATTCAAAGAACAAATTGTCAATTAATAAATAAAAGTAACTTAAACAACACCATTCAAATGTGAAATTTTCCCCTTAACTCCTCAAAGATCATGTAAATAGAATTGTCCATTAGATGCCATCTTAAAAAAAAAAAAAAAAAAAAAAAAAAAAAAAAACTTTCAATTCGGCTAAAATAAGGGCATCTTGTTTAACTTGTTACATATCATGGATTAGTGGTTATGAAATTTGTTAATCTCATTAGGGCAGGCATATAGTTGTGTAGGGTTTGTACATTGATCCATCATCAAAGTGTGTTGTCTGAAAGCAGAGTTATGTTTATTGCTTTACAAAGTTTCAAAGTAGACCTAAAATATTGTTACCTTTCTGCATAAAATGTTATCTAAAAATATTAACTGCTTTCAAAGATTACACGGTACATCTTTCCCAACAATAAGTAAAATAAAGACTATAAGCACAATTCGCTGAGCAGCAGGTAAACAATTTTTTTTTGAGTTAACAGGGTCATTAACCTTTCTGCACTCAAATCACCATATTACAATAGTACCAGGTCAGTTTGCACAAAGTCAATGTTTCAAACTTAACATGAAAATCTGCTGTACTAAAACACAGGCCATATGTTCCAAAATGGGTACAATCTGATGATTTTTTTGTACATTGATTTTCAGCAAGGAAAACAACCTTTAAGTTAGTAAGAAATGAAATTATCAAAGTTCTCAAATTTGCATTCAAATATCAAGTGAAATTGAAAATACAGGATGTAACAGCAGCCAGAGCTAAGGTGTTTTTAAGGGTCTCTAATCGTCTGAATTGCAGAACAATAGCAATTAATTTTCACCAGCAATAGCGCTATAACAGATTACCTCTAAAATTTTCTTTTAGACCAATGAATGTGGGTCAGACTACTCAAATGTCAGTAATCAACATTCTTATGTGAATTAACTTCTATTCTATAGCACATTTGTTCAATTATTAAAAAAAAAAAGAAAAAATGATTCACTGATTCTAGGACCTGTGGATAAATTGAAGAATCTAAGATCATTTATGATGTAAAACTGAGAATGCTTCTTTTAACATAAAAGTTTTATTGCAATATATAAAATTTAACAACAAAACACATATGTACAATATACAAATACACAAATGAATAAAATATTAAACCCTATACATAGTGAATTTCAAATTTGTCTCTTCTGATAGTGTGTTGACTTAATAATTTATTATAAAAAACTGGAATGTCTTATCATTTCTTCCATACACTTCACACTATACTGCAGAATTTTGGAATACATGAACTACAGCAAAAATTGATAAGAATATGTTGTTTTACAATGAAACACAATCTGTGACAAATTGGCAATATCAAATATACCGTCATGTACTATACTAAGAATAAGCTTTCATGAATATGGGGTGCCACTGGTAGTGTAACGATTTTACATAGCCTTTACCTCATTTTGGCCAATGTACAAGATTGTGTACTGAGAGGAATGACTCCCCTCATTCAGTTGTTACACAAGCTGGACACTCAACGTGAGGCTGTTGAACCCAAGGATTTGGTGCAACTCGTTGGCGACAGCCTTAGATTTTAGTCACAAACCAACAATTCCCTTAACCAGAAGAGAAGGGAGAATCTAAAATTTGCCATAGTGCAGGGGTATCGACATCTGTGGTCGGCCGCGACACCAGTTACAGAGTATCTCTTTGGGGATAATTTACCGTCGGTGGTTAAATCTATCACAGAAGCGAACAATGCTAGCCTTCACCTTAGCTGTGGGTTTCATAATAGACAAGAATCAACAGACAACCAATCATGGTCGTCCACTCTGGAAAATGTAGAAACAGAGCTGCCCTATGCAGTGTCTGTCAGTTTTTGTCTAGAGTTTAAGTTTCAAGCTTTAAGTTAGAAGTACAGCAGCTTAGAATACAGCAAGATAGCCAGAGACATTGTAGAGTAAGCAGCATAGAGTGCAGCAGACAATGTATAGTAATAGAAAAGTAGCTGGTTCCAGATACAGATACATGTGACTTTTTAAAGTGTTCTTAGAAAATAAAAGAAGAAAACCAACTGAAGTGTTGTTAGGTTTCTCAAATGGATCATGTGCCCGATGACGAGGGCCAGGTGGACAGTTACTGGCAGAATTCACACAGCCATCTACTAGGGGGGAAAATCAACTTACTACTTGCACAGCAGCAGATGGGATTTTTAAAGACTTAAGTCAGGAGTTGGAAGTAGAGGGCACTGGAACACCAGTACCAGAGGATATTGCAATTTGATCACATCTCTGATCTCTTCGGGCTTAGAGAGCAGAGATGCCAGCCACAGGGAGCACATCCACCTTCCTGCAGAGCAATGCCACAGCTTCCCAACCAAACAGCCAAGGCCCCATACCAACACCACAAAATTGGGGGTACACGGGCCCTCCCATTCATACAGGACAATTTCACCCATCAGATAGATTCCGCCCCGCAGGGGAACAAGTGGTCGTATGCACAACCACTCCAGGATGGTCACTCGGGTCCATAGGGCAGTACAATGAAGGTAGGCAACCATTACACTCCACCCCTTTGGACCACCACATACCCAAGAACCTGCGTCAAAAGATATGGGACAATGAGTACGTGTCACTAAGAGACCTACTACCCCACATATCTAACACACTCACACCTTTTGACACTATTGAAGACGAGCAATTTGTCCAACAAAAGAAAACAGACGCGGACGGCAGCCTCACCATTATTTTGGCCCCTGTCACCAAAAAGAGCTCCCCCCCTTACCTTTCCTCGGTGGCAAGTTGCTTTCAATATTTTTTTTAGTTATTTACCTCCAAAAATTCCTCTATCAATCTCTCAACCTACTGCAATACAACAACAGGATAGTTGAGATTTTAACCCACCAACCCTCCCTGCACTTCAACATCCTTATTACCTACCTACTACATCTTCCACTCTGCTAAACATCCCATTCCCCTTTGGCGTCTTTATTGGCCCCACCTTCAATAATTGCCAACCTTGCTCAAGTATCCATCTCAGTATTTTAACAATTTGTCGTACCGCTCGGTTGTCAAGGTGTTACTGCTCGAGCAACACAGGGTGACTCCCGCTCTCGCCACCAACACCAACCAATTATTGAACCAAGCAAATAACTACTGAGGTACCTTATTATTTTGGACTTTACATTAAGTATGTGTGACATGTAAGAAAAATATAACAAGATAAACTACCTGTGATGTTTAGTACTTTTATTTAACAGAGATACAGCAATCCAACACGCAATGCACAAAATGTGGATTATTTCTTTACTAAAACATTTTGGAAATTTGTGAAAAATGGCACAAACAAACCATATTTCATTTATTGAACGAAATAAACTTATAGGAATTTTTCTTGCAACTAATTTGAAATTCTTAATTCTGTTTGTTAGTGTAATGCTGTAGTGCCAATGACCCTTGATGATTGCTACAAGCTTGAAAGTAATACCACCAGACAAGCAGCATGTGATTCATGGTTTAGTGCTAGAAAAAATAGAATAACTGCTTCTCAGTTCAATAAAATCCTTAAGAGGAAAAAAGATTTTACAGATAAATTTGTTTCATCAATTTTTGATGAGTGTTTTTTTTACATCAACTGCTACTACTTATGGCAAAACCCATGAGCCTCTAGCCAAAGTTGCATACACCTCAAAATATGCATCTGTACACATACATGATTGTGGTCTGGTAGTAAACCCTGCCTTTTCATTTTTAGGGGCTTCACCTGATGGAAAACTTTGTGATAAAAGTATTACTGGTATTATTGAGATAAAGTGTCCATATACTGGTAGAGATAAATCTATTTCTGATTGCTTAGCATTACTTCACTTTTGTTTAGTTGAAAATAATGGGAATATCCATCTTTCACATACTCATGACTATTACTATCAAGTACAAGGGCAGTTGCTTGTGACATCTGCACCTTTCTG